TGGCAACGGCTTGATGCTAACATGTTTGTCAGAATTATTTATTTTTTTCTCATATTTAAGTGGCACTAATCCTCTTCCGTACTAACGCAATGCATACATGTTTTTTATTTATTTATCTATTTATTTTTGGTTTAACGGTGAAATATGGTGGTGAAGATTCTCAGTCATCCAGTCTGCGCAGCTTAAATTTTAGTTTGAAAGGGTCGTTTACTCGTTTCCTTTGTGACGTCACCGTAAACCAGCCTTTTTTCAACGTCGTAATTTTTTTCTGTGCCTCTTGTAATGATTTGGCTATCTGGTTTCTGCGTCAAAAGCCGTACATTGGTAAAACGAGCTGCTAGAAAGAACAATATTTTGTTGTGCAATTTCAGGCTTTAACTAATGTTTCTTATTAAAAGCTACATACTTTTAACTGTCGGATAGCCAAAAGCAACGTACTACATTAAACATCTAAAAACATAAATAAGTCAATTGTGGATACGGCTCTCAGCATTATTTCACATTATTTCACAGACACTATCGACACCAACTGGAGACGATGAGGCGTGGCACTAAATACATGACAGTTGGCATGGTTAGTGTGGAAGGGGATGTAGCTCAGTGGTAGAGCGCATGCTTTGCATGTATGAGGCCCCGGGTTCAATCCCCGGCATCTCCAATAAGCTTTGCTTTTCGCCATTTGTTCTTTAAACCTTTCCAACAAAGTGACTTCGTATATTAATCTAATGAGATATGTGCATCAAAATTGATTCTATTCAGAGCCCTCTAAAAAATAATTTTAACTACCTATAGTCAAACCATTTATCAAACAGATTTATTCTGATTTGAAAATTATTTTTGACTCCAATTTGAAAAACGAGGAGCTGGATGCAGCGGTGGGTAAATCTGCAGCTATATCACAAGGACAAGATAGTTTAAATGTAAACTTTAACAGTTTCTGGTCTGATCTAAGATAATTACTTAATGTGGTCCTGAAATAATATTTACATATTAAGAAACTACTAACAGCAATAACACAAGGATTGAAATCTTAATAACAAAATCAAACAAAGATAAAACAATTATTTATATTATTTTACTCCACATAGGCTTTAAGATTCTTCGATATGCCTTGGCCAATAGTCTTAAAAGTTGAACTCAAACAACTTGGAAACTTGGATGAAACTTGGCTATGTTAATACATAACTACATCCATCATGTTTTAGATTTTTTAGATTTTAAACATCTGGTTAAGGATCAAGGTAACATTTTGTCTTTGATTTCTTTAAATCTTTTGATAGGGTTGAACTTCCCTTCAGTTTACAGTGATCACATCATTTTGATTTTGAAGAGTTTCAGTCTGGCTTTAGAGCTCATCATAGCACTGAAACAGCTCTGGTGAAAGTCACTAATGATATTCTCATGGCCTCAGATAATGGACTTGTATCTGTGCTCGTCCTGTTGGATCTTAGTGCTGCATTTGATACAGTTGACCATAATATTCTTTTAGAAAGACTTGAATATTTTGTTGGAATTAAAGGAACAGCACTAGACTGGTTTAAATCCTATCTATCTGATCGAATTCAGTTTGTTTATCTTAATGATAGATCTTCAACACACTCAAAGGTTACCTGTGGAGTACCACAGGGATCAGTGCTAGGACCAATTCTCTTTACTTTATACATGCTCCCAATTGGTAGAGTTATTAGACAGCATGGGATTAATTTCCACTGTTATGCTGATGATACCCAGCTATATCTATCTATAAATCCAGATGAAGCTAACCCATTACATAGATTACAGGCATGTCTTGAAGACATAAAAACCTGGATGACTCTTAACTTTCTGCTTCTGAATGCAGACAAAACAGAAGTTATAGTCTTTGGACCAGAGTCTCTGAAAAAGAAGCTGATTAGCCAGTCACTTCATTTGGATGGGATTAAACTGATTTCAGATAATAAAGTAAAAAATCTTGGTGTTATTTTTGATCAGGACCTGTCATTTAAATCCCAGATCAAAGAGGTTTCTACAATTTCCTTCTTTCATCTGAGGAACATTGCAAAAATTAGAAATATCCTGTCCAGGGGTGATGCTGAGAAACTAGTCCATGCATTTGTTACTTCAAGGCTGGACTATTGTAATTCTTTACTATTTAGGAAGTCCACAAACTGTAGTTAAAAGCCTTCAGCTGATCCAAAATGCTGCAGCCAGAGTTCTGATGAAAATTAAAAAGAGAGATCATATCTCTCCTATCCTGGCTTCTCTTCATTGGCTTCCTGTTAAATCAAGAATAGAATTTAAAATCCTCCTTCTCACATATAAAGCCTTAAATGGCCAAGCTCCATCTTATATCAGAGATCTGATTGTTCCTTATGTTCCTAACAGAGCACTTCGCTCTCAATCTGCAGGTTTACTAGTGGTTCCTAGAATTTCTAAAAGTAGAATGGGAGGCAGATCTTTTAGTTATCAGGCTCCTCTCCTGTGGAACCAACTACCAGTTTTAGTCCGTGAGGCAGACACTCTGTCTACTTTTAAGACTAGGCTTAAAACTTTCCTTTTTGATAAAGCTTATAGTTAGGGTGGCTCAGGTTATCCTGAGCTATCTCTATAGTTATGCTGCTATAGGCTTAGACTTTTGGAGGACATAGGGACCCCCCATTTCATCATTCTGCTTCATTCTCTCTCTGTTCTCCTATTCTGCAGAATCTGTTAGTTCAATCTCTAACCTTCTGCTCTCTCTGCTTTTCCTCAAAGTAGCTTTGCCTCGTCTGTTCCTGTTTGGCTGTGACGTCATCCTGGAAAGAAACATCAGCTGTGCTGCTTCCATCAACACCCTTGTTTGTAGATGTTGGAGATCGGCCTGTCTTCAGGTGTGGTCCTGTTTCTCTGGCCGTGGCTGGGTGGATGTGCTCTCTTCATCCTCTGGCATGGGAGCTGCCTTGGAGCTCGTCTGCCTGGCTGTGTGTTTCCTGGACGGGGCCGCCTTTTACAGCCTCTTTTTGTATCTCTGCTTCTGTCTCCTTGAACCCCAGTCGGCCTCGGCAGATGGCCGCTCACACTGAGCCTGGTTCTGCTGGAGGTTTCTTCCTGTTAAAAGGGAGTTTTTCCTCTCCACTGTCGCTACAAGCATGCTTAGTGTGAGGGATTGTATTTGAGTCAATGAGTCAATGCAATCAACTGGTTTTCCTTAGATAGAAAACTTTGTATCAATTTGACTGTATGATCTGGTTGAACTGTAAAGTGCCTTGAGATGACATGTGTTGTGAATTTGGCGCTATATAAATAAACTGAATTGAATTGAATTGAATTGAAAGGAAAATATTGTCTCGACATTAAGAGGTGGTCCGCAGCACCAAATTCCTGGGGATGCTGGTGAAAATTCTCACCCCTTCTAGTTAAAAATCTTCAGCAGCTGGGGGTGCACATTATAGACAACCTCACCTGGACTGTAAACATCACCTCACAAGTCAAAAGGGCACAAAAGCGCATGTACTTCCTGCAGAGGACTAGGAGAAGCACCATAGAGAGCGTTCTGACCAGCTGTCTCCCTGTGTGGCGTGGAGGCTGCAGTGCCTCAGACTGGAAGAAGGTGAGAAGAGTAGTAAGAACAGCAGAGAGGAAGAGGGGGCTCCTCTTCCCTCCATAAAAGACTATTCATCCCAGCGCTGCATGTCCTGAGCCCGTAACATCATCAATGACCGCTCACACCCCCACCATGTACTGTCCTCCCTGCTGCCCTCTGGGAGGAGGCTTCACAGCATTCAATGCAGGTCGAGCAGATTATGAAACAGCTTCTTCCCCATCATCAATGCGATTTTGTTTTGCACCATGTTTTTTTCTCCCACAATGTTTACATTTGATCACTGTTGCACTTTAAGAAATGGGAATGTCATGAAAGCTGTACAAAAGGAAATGTCGTTTTGTAAACAAAATGAGAATAAAAGTTCTATAAGTCTAAGTCACCATGTTTTAGATCTGTTAGATTACAAACATCTGGTTGATGATCAAGTTGCCATTTTGTTCTTAGATTTCTTTTAAAAGGTTTGAACATCCCAGCATTTTGATTTTGGGGAAATGTTTTTTAATATTATCTCAACATTGTATAAAGATATAAAAAGCTCTGTGTTACTTTATACAGGAACTACAAGGAGATTTAAAGTAAAAAGAGGTATTCGAATAATCCTTTACTTTTGATTATAGAAACAGAAGTATTGATTGATTAATTGATTGATTGGTTTTATTCATCTCCCAGTGGAGAAATTTACTCGTGACATTAGCTCAAATAGTCAAAAAGAGAAGAAGAATGTGCCAAAGGAAGAAAAAGATGCATGGGATATATACGGTATATACAGTGCGTCCACACATGACAGCTTTTTTTTGTTTTTTAATAGCAGGATTATCATACAAGGTTTTTTTTTAACGGAGGGGATTAGGGGCACTGAAAATATAAAAAAAGTTAATTGATTTTTTAATTTTATTTCAGTTTAATATGGGAAAAGAAGTTAGAATTCTGAGAAAAAATTCAGAATTCTGACTTTTTTCCCTTAATAAATGGAAATAATATTTAAAAAACATTTTATGGCCCTAATCCTCTTCCGTAGTTTTTGCACATGGCGTTTACGTTGGTATTTATATAGCTGGATATTCATATATACATATTGCACTGTGTGTCAGATATAAAGAAACAGGATATTGCAAAGTGTATTAAAAAGTTTAATGTACATTAAACATTGTACAAGTTATTGTCGTTGCAGTGTCGCACTGTAGATTCTGATGGCAGCGGGGATGAATGACCTGCGGTAGCGCTCCTTTTTACAAGCAGGGTGTAAAAGTAACACAACAACACTATATATTAAGAATTATAATAAGATAATAAAATAAGTCCCCTTTATTTTCTCCGCACAAACCAGCTCATTACACGCATATTTAGAAACGAAAAAAAAGCAGGAAAATCCTCTGCATTAAAAAATATAATAATTTCCTGCCTTCCGTAAACGCACCACGAGACCCCGCCCTTAGCGGTAACTAAGGAGATCACAGTTCTGTTTACCTCTAAGATGTCCTCCTTGCTAGCTGCTGATGCTGCGGGGCTGGAGCTGAAATGACCGAGCTCTAAATCCTTTTCTTCGCTTCTAGAACCTCCCAGTGGGCTTCCTTTGTTTTTGTTTTACAGGATGCAGTTGAAACATATTAAGAGTCTTCTCACCCCGCAGGTAAGTTTGGGAAACGGGCCGGGTAGCTAACGCTAGCAGCTGCTGAACACCAGTTAAAAAGTCAGGCAAGCTCTTAGTTACAGTTGTAAAATGAAATTGTATTTTATTTTATTAACTGTAAGTGTTCTGTGTGGGTGTAATTTTACACCATAGATTATATTTATATTTATGCTGCTTTATTTATATATAAAAGTCATTTTAATCAGCTAAAATGTAGCTAGCTTCTTCTCTTTTTGACTACTTGAGCTGATGTAACCAGTAAATTTCTCCACTGTGAGATCAATAAAGTCAATCAATCAAACAATCTAGTTGAATACCATTTGTTTTATAGTTTGGCATAACTCTGAGTGCTTAAAAAAGTAAACAGATTTGATTTTTAATATTAGAATTTTTTATTATAATAAAATCCAGTATTTAACTTTTTTGCTTTTTTTTTGTTTTGTTATATTTGCTTTACATAGGATGGTGCAGCCAAAGTCACATGCATGGCCTGGGCACCAAACAACAGCAAGTTTGCTGTTTGCAATGTGGACAGAGTGGTGTTGCTCTATGATGAACATGGAGAAAGAAGAGACAAGTTTTCCACAAAACCTATGGATCCAAAGGTGGGACATATAAACACACACACAAAAAACAACAACATAATTATATAAATCTTTTATTTGATTGAAAACTGCCTTCATAACTGGTACTAATTAAATTAGATTACCGGTAGATATACACAATGAACATAGAAAGCAGATAATATGCTGCTAAATGCAGGATATTGTCATTAGGAATTTACTAAATGTTTTACAGCTTTTGTTTTATCATATTTGATTTTAGATTTGTTGATTTTAATTTGCTGCTTTAAAGATTTTGTGTTTCCTAAAGTAGAACTATTCAGGAAATTAGAAAAACAAATCATTAACATTCATTCAATCAGTTTGGTTTTCAGGGATACTCATGTTATTACATTTGAATATAATTATTCAGCATTTACACTTAACGATAATAATAGTTATGATATAGAACTGAAACTATTTATCATATTATCGTGATTAATCATTAAATTAATCAACTAATTTACTAATCAATGAATCGTTAACTGGAGTTTAGAGACTCTAAAATTGACCATTAGCTGAAAGAGAAACACATTTAGTGAAGTTATTATATCAAAATCATAAAAAATATCCAAATAGTCTGCAATTAGGGGGAAAAAAGACAAAAAACTTTCCTCTGTCAATATTCTCTATACAGAACACCTCAAGTGGAAAAGTGTTAGTTACACTTCAATTCTGTAAAAAATCTTCCCTAATGAACCTTTTGCTAGGAGATTATTAATCAATATACAAAATATTCGCTAGTTGCAGACCTAATATGATAGCAGCATAAAATCTATCACTGCAATTTGCATATTATCTGCATTTATTCAAATCATGGAGCGCAGAGGGCAGCAGGCAGAAGATGGGCCATTTTGTGGGGTTCAGAGTTTTTCTCATTATAAGAAATTATGGAAATGCTGGGAATTGAGCCCAGGACCTCACATGCTTTACCTGAGCTCCACCCTTTCTCCAATAACCCAGTGATGTATTTTAATGTATATTAATTATATAAATATAAGGGGAGTGGCGACCTAGTGGTTTGGGCATAGGGCTTGGATTCCTGAGGTTGTGAGTTCAAAACTCACTCCCACAGACTGCTACTCTGGGTCTCTGAGCAGGACCCTTAACCCCAGATTGCTCCCCGGGCGCTGCACAGTGGCAGCCCACTGCTCCCCTAAGGGGATGGGTTAAATGCAGAAGGTTAATTTCTCCATGTGAGATCAATAAAGTTCAATTTATTTTATTGCTGGTTATTAGAAAATTACGACTTCCAGGTAATAAAAAATCAAAATATCACCCAGCAATCACAACTCTGCTATTATTGTTGTTTTCTTCTATATTAATTGACTTGCAGCTATTTTTTTTTTATTTAGGAGATAAAATCTTTTAAGTTTTTAGGGCGGATTGTCATGATTTTAACTATGATCAGACCCAAAAGCAGTAAACCAAATCAGAGAGACCAGGGAAAAATTTTAACAGGTTTATTTAGGAGATTGTGAAGAATCCAGTGTTGCTCTGAACACTGCTCAAACGGAACTGAAAATTGAGGGGAAGACACTGCGGTTAGTTCAGGCTCAGTGGGAAATTTGATTCTCGAACTTGAAAAGAAGAAATTGATCGCTGACTCATGTTTCCAGAAAAGTGGTTGACTCTTTGACTCCAGTCGGTGTGGGGTGTTCCAGTGTTTGTCTCTTTCGATGGAGGGCGGATAGGGTTTAACCAGAATGCAGTTGTTTGTAGGTGAAAGGAGAAACTGACTGCCACTTAGATTTCCTGCGGTACTTGAACGGGTCGTTGTGGAGAGAAATCCCTTGCTCAGTGTGAAGCTCAAACGATCTCTTGGAGGGAAGTAGATCCAAACCTCCAGTTTGGATCCTCAGCTCAGTTTGAAGCTCCTTCCAGGGAGAGAAGGTCCGCAAAATCCAGTTTGCAGGATGACTTCCTGCCGAGAGGCAAAGACAAAAAACAAAGTTAAAGCTCAGGTTGACTAGAACTCAGTTTGACTCAGCAAAACTCAGCTTGGCTGGAGTACCCAAAACTCGCAAACACTCTGGCGCTGAGGTAGTGGCCGTCAGCAGCTTAAGAACACTCCGTTAACGAGGTAACCCTCTGCAGGTGTGTGAGGAGGTGGACCAGAACCAGGCGCCTCCTGGTGGAGGAAGGGACACAAACACAGAAACACAAAAACACACAGACAGTCCTGACACGGATAATCTGACTTACCCAGGATTAAAGATCCTATTAATGAATAACTTACTGACACATATTGTAAACAAGCTCCTTTAGCAGGTTTTAAAAATAGTAGCTGTTTAGAGAGTTGTCACATTACCAGGATATCTATTTTTAAATATATTTTTTTAACCATCCTTTCTGTCAGGGGTTGCCTTTATTACCAGGTTGATACTCTGCTGGGTTTCTATTGTTGTTAACTTTATATCATGTATAAAAGAAAATCCCTTTATTGTCCGATAATGGGTAAGTTTTGGGACAATTTTTTAGGACAATTGTGGGTAATTGTTTTCTGCAATAACATTAAGGTGTTGTGTGATTTTGCAGTATGGAAAACAGAGCTATGTGGTCAATGATATGGTCTTCTCGCCGGACTCCACCAAAATCGCCATTGGCCAATCGGACAACATCATCTACGTCTACAGAATCGGAGAAGACTGGTAAGCTGGTTTCCGTCGGTTCAGTTTTTCGGCTGAGACATTTTATAATGAAACGGAGCAGAAGGCTCCTATAAAGTCCTAGAAGAGTAAAGAAAACATTAAACCTGCTGAAATAAACGCTCCTGCTTCCATGGAGAACAGAAGATCTGAATCACGACGACGGCACGCCTGCTTGTTGTCAAGCACTAAGTTAAAAAAATTTATCCAGATATGCTTTAATATGTTAAATGTTAAACCCCAAAAATTAATTACATACTGAAGAAAAAGATTGGAGGAGAGCTGCAGCACGTTTTTGAAACATAGTGTCCTTATAGGTGGAGCTGTGATATTAAAAAGGTCTGCTTGGAATGCAAAATGTCAGCGAATGTATCCGAAGTTGATATGTTTTGCATGTCAGTGTCATTTTAAAGGACCACTCACCCCTTAATCAAATGTTTTACCCCATAAATAAATATCTTATAGTGGTCTCTACGTGTCCAAGGCATTATATGACCTTTTAAAATCCTGCTGTTGTGTCTAAAACTGCCAGTTTAGTGCCCCCTTATGTTAAGAAGGAGTCACTGCATCTGATGTTTGCTTTTGGCTTAGAGCCTGACGGATATTTGCAAGAGAAGTAATGCCAGAACAAAGGGCATGCCGTAGCAGAAACATGATCCAGACTCCGGTCCAGGAATATTTACTCCCTTTAAGGTGACAAAAGATGCAGAATGGACTTTATTCGGTTCTGTTTTTAAATGTAAACACTTTATAATCTCCCTAGGTTGTCACCAAAATACTTAAGCCTTGCTAAATTGCAGAGCATCATCGACTTCTCTGATGAGCTTTGAAGGGGAGGATTTAAGGAAAGCAACGTGGAGGACGTTATGCAAAATGTTTGTAACTTGATCGAAAAGACTGAAGGCAACCTGAACCAGCTGTTTAAAGGCACTGCTAATGGCATAAAGTCTCTCTCAGCATTGAATTACTCTAAAAACAGACAGCTATATTACAGATAGTCTCCACTTCATTGAAACAAAGTAGAAAATAGTCTGACAGCATGTTAGAGCGACATACCCTGGCTTTAAATTAAACTTTTAAATCTTTAGTCATTGGAAATTATAATAGTTTCACATATATTTAAAATATTATGATCTACTTTTTTACTCAGCATATCATTAAAATATTTAGCCCTTCATGTAATGGAATATCCTCTCGAAAAAAGAGAAAACTGAGTTTTCTTTTTTTTTTTTTATGGATTATTAACTTTAGATTATCTCACTAATTGATAACTTGCATCTTAAGTCAGGTGTTTTAGTCCCAGTTAAACCTTAAGTCTTCCAGTCTTATTGAAAATCAAAAAGATATCTGTGAAGAAATATTTTTTTGTTTTAACAGCACATCACTCAAATGTAAATGAAAACTTTGGAGCCATGAAAAAGAATAATCTTTAGACTTCTGCTGACGTTAGTGTGATTTAAAATGAATCGACTGATCACCCAGAATTAAGAAAATTTGGGCTGAATTTTTTATTGATTTATTTTTTTCTGTAGATAGTTTTTGCATTGTTGTGTTTCTCTGTTAGAAAACTTGAATAAAATACAATGTTTTAAAATTTAAAAGCAATCTTTTTGAGTTGCATCACCCAGAACAAAAACCTTTTTGATCAAATCATTTTCATACCTAAAAAAAACCCTGCGAATTGCCGAGTTTGGAAATGACCTGGATTTTAAAACAGCAAAAAAAGAGCAGAAAAAATATGGAACTAAGTTGAAATCTTTGGGTCGAGATGCGTACAGAAAAAAGGAAAGTCGAATGTTGAAAATAATTATAATTACACAGTTAGGAAACTATATAAAAATCATGTTATTCATCCATCTGCCTGTGGATATTAATGCTCCATATTTGTAGCCAGATTGCTGTAAAAATACTGTATCTGAAATAATTCTGTGAAATTTCTTCTTTTTTGTTTGTGTGTGTGTGTGGGTGTGTGTGTGTGGGGGGGGGGGGGTTGGGGGGGGGGGGGGGGGGGGGGGGGGGGGGGGGGGGGAATCAAATGGGCTTAAACCCTGTAAGCAGTTTATTTTCGTATATTTTCTATCTTTTTTAGGGGGGACAAGAAAGTCATCTGCAACAAATTTGTTCAGACGGTGAGTAAAGGGAGCTGTCATAGAAGAGAGCTATATACTTTAGCCTGCTAGTATGGGCTCTGAAAATGTCATACAATCCATCTTATAGGAAAAACAAATAAGGTAAAGGGATGCGCTGATATGAAAAAAACTCTAAATCATGTCACATATTCTGCATCAAACTGACCATATCAATGCGTTTTTTTTGTTGTTGTTTTTTTCTCCCACAATGTTTACGTTTGATCACTGCTGCACTTTAAGAAATGGAAATGTCATGAAAGCTGTGCAAAATGAAATTTTGTGTGGTATACACTCTGTGTATACAAATACTGTGTATACAATAACAATTAAATTAGTCTAATTCTAAGTCTAACATTTGGCCAATAACTTATATCCATTTGTATTATTAGTACTATATCCTCCCCGTATGATTACTCCACTGACATTGTTTGCATGGTTCGGTTAGAAATCCATTAATTACCTCATCATTATTACTGTCATTGGTTCTAGGGCTGGAAAGTTAATTGCATTTGCAATATAACCCATTGTAGCAAAGCTCAATTTTAAAGTAGAATAGGTTCTCAATTTTAGTCATATTACATTTAACAAGACTAAGATGAAACATTTCTCCCTCCAGCCCTTTAGGTGGCGGTAATAAACTCAAAGTGGGTTTGCTGCCACACAGAAGGGGAGGAAAAGTTGCAGCTGGAACACAGATCCAAGAACTTTTTCACGCAAAGGGTTACAGTCCTGCAACAATGGACTCTGGAAAAGCAGGCTTTCGATGGCGTCCAAACTCTGTAGTAAAACATCCATATGCATGTAGGAAAATCGCATTAAAATTGAATCACAATATTGATTTAAAAAGGTTTGCACTGAACATTCAGCTCTAATGTACGGAAGAGGATTAGGGCCACTAAAAAAAAAAAAAGGTTACTAATTTTAAAATTTTATTTCAATTTAGTGTTGGAAAAAAGTCAGAATTCTGTTTAGTTTACCTGTTCAGGAGAAAAACCACAACCTCTGCGAAGCTTCTGCGCCTCTTTACTTCCTTAAGTCTTCCTTTGTTTTCCCTTGAATCTGAGAAATATAAAGCCATTTAGAAGCCATTACTCAACTCTATCACTGAAGTATTATGATTTGGGATGCATCTCATTCAACATGACCACATGTACAAAATGCAGTCTACTCTGCTGTAAGGTATGATGTCTGTTTAAATTGGAAAACATTTTAAGTAACTATATGCAGGAATAAAGTATTTTTTTTTAAATGTTTGTCGTTCTTAATGCTTTTAAAAAGCTTTTTTGGATGCTTTATATTTGCTTTATACTGAATGCAACTTTGAACACCTTAAAGGAAAAGTCAGGTCAGCAAGAAATAATCAATGGATCATTATCTATACCTAAAGCTAATACGTTCGCTGTCATTTTATTAATTCAGCGCATAATCCGTAAAAAACCCAGTAATTTTCATTGCGATCACTGACTCAGGGAGCGGCTATTTTTGCCCAAATATAGTAATCCCTCCCTCCTGACATCTTCCGGCAGTGATGTCACGGTGCGGTAAGCCTAGCGCCATTCTCCCCGCTTTACAAGCAAAATCAGTGGGAACTACTAGACACATCTGCAATCAACAACATTTATTGAAGACACACAAGTCTTCATTGTTTGCATCACCTGCCGCTCGATCTCTCGCCTTATAGCTTCTGTTTTAATCTCACTCTAGCCTTTCATAGATTAATTTTTTACCCAGTGTTGACGGAAAAGTCCGGTCAGCAAGGAATAATCAATGGATCGTTGCGATCACTCATTCTAGGAGCGGCCATTTTTGCCCAAATATAGTAACACCTCCCTCCTGACATGTTCCGGCAGTGACGTCACGGTGCGGTAAGCCTAGCGCCATTCTCCCCCCTTTACAAGCAAAATCAATGGGAACTACTAGACACATCTGCAATCAACAACAATTAGCCATGCATGTAGTATATTAGATTTTGAGAGGACTTAACCATTGAAAAAGTTATGAGCGCTATAGTTAAACTAACAATGCCCACGTGCATGGCAGCTGGATTATGGAATAAATCCGGTAAAAGTGGAAAAAAAATATTAGTTATTTCACTTTTCCTCCACGGACGGGTTGGTCGTTGGATTGCCAACTTGAAGAGGGAGGGTTTTGCCATCGAACTTCTGGCCAGAGAAAAAACAGGTAATATGTAGCCAACATTTGGAAGAAGAATGTTTTCAAGATGACTTGGATAATAGCGCGTTGTGACAAACACCAGATACAGCACTGGCACCTGATCAACAGCCGATACCGCACCGTGTCATCACAAACCTGTAGGTGGCAGTAGTGCTCTTTGACAAACATGGATGACTCCAGTAAAGCATATTATAATTAAAATTACTCTAAATTAAAACTTTTATCATTTATTGAACAGTATGTAATAATTTCATATTTAAAGTACTTTCATTCCGTCCCATTTTTGGGTCATTTTGAGGCTTTAAGGTCAAGCAGGGGTCACGCTTTCCTCTGAGGAAAGGTCAAAATGTGTTATTTGTGAGCGACAGGTGGAACCAAGATTTCTGGTGTCTTCTCAGTCCATCATCTGAAGCAGGATCGTATATCTGCAGGTCCAGTCTTGACCGGAGAATCCGACTTTTATTAATAAAAGAACCTGTGATTCTTTTATTTTCTTTGCCCAGAACAGAATAAATAAAACCCTCCAGCTTGTGTTGCAGCTGGTTTGTATTTGAAAGGAACGGAGGTCAAGTTGGAACAAAAAGTCATCCTGCAGATAGAATAACAATACTGTTTAAGCTGCTCTCTTATATGCTGAACTCTCACAGGCTCAGGTGTTGTTTTGGATCCACAGAAAATGATTTATTTTTCTCTTTTATTCCATGCTCCTTTGAAGGAGATGCTTTTAATCCAAAGGTGTTTTAGGATGTTTCTACTTTTTGGAGGTTCCTGTGAAGTTGGATTTGGTTTCCCTGATCTTTAAGGATTAATACTGGTTTCTTCTTCATTTATTTTCTTTTTTTAATTAGACCCCATTATTGTTTCCAAGCCTTGAATCCATATCTCTATTTTTAATTAATAAAAATATTATGTTTTTAGGGCAATGTCAGACATGTGGAAATATGTGAGGAAAGTTACAATTTTCTAATCTTTCTCTAATTGTGTTGAAAACTTTAGTTTCTGAAACAGCAAACACGAATATTTGACTTTAAAAACTGTGTTGCAGAGTGCTGTGACTCGCCTTCTTTGGCCTGGAGAAAGTGCTATTGTTTACGGATTACTAGATGGAAAGGTAAGTGACATCACACCATGAGTTCCTCTGCATCAGTCTAATAAGGGCAGAAATCAGTGGAACTGAGCTGAAGCACATATGCTGGCTTTCAAAGGGGTTCACGCCGCTGTTCAAATGGCAGGTTCTGTGAGGTGAATAAATTAGATATTGATCTTTTTGAAAACTTACCGACGTATACTGTGATTTTTATACTGTGCAATTCAATTCGGGGAAAAAAGGAGAAATGCATTGGAGGAAAAATAAAACAAAAGTTGAAGATGCTGCAGAAATGTGTGCAGACTTCATCTAGTTCAGTTTCCAAAAACTTTTTCAGTCACAAACAAATAAGTTTTTATATCAGTTTAGAATTTCTCCTTCACTTTCTTATTTTCCTCCTTTAGTTAGAGTTATTTCTCTCGCAAAGCATCATATAATTTAGTTATAAACAGTATCAGCAAGGATAAAGGTACAAAAGAGCCTCGCTGTGTTCTACCATAGACCACAGCACCATAAACCTGAACTGTTCAGGGAGGCTTCCTGAAGGCCAACAGAAACTCAAAATAAGATGCAGCAACGTCCAACAAAGACTGGTTGTGTTCTATAACATTCCTCAAAGCTTTTTGCTAAATGTATTTATGTCATTTAAAATAAAAACAAATAAAATATATTTTTTTTTTACTGAATTTAAATCAAATGAATCAACAACTACCACTTGGGGAGTGCTAGATAGAGCAAATTGTAGGACAAGAGAGGTTTTCCATCTTAAATGCAAAATGTTTATGTATGTATATACAAAATCTATTTCATGATTTACATTTTTTGATCATTTGTATTTATTCTTACTTGTGCTTCAATATATTTTACTGGCACTTGATTTTTTTATGTCTTTAATGGAAGATTGTGTACATTTTCAAACACAACTCTCTCTCTATATATATAAATCAGTATATATATATATACATATATATATATATATATATATATATATATATATATATATATATATATATATATATATATATATATATATATATATATATATATATATATACTGTAGTTTCATGTCTTCTTGAGAAGTGTTTATTAACTTATTCATGCAACCAGGTTATTGCATCAAACAAAAATCTTCAGTTCAAATGATTTAAGATGTATAGATATATATATTTTGATAATAGTTGATGTCACAATGAAAGGGAAATGTAATAACTGATTGAGCAGCTTAGAAACAGAGCAGAGGGACAGCATCAAGGTGAAAAACCAAGATTAGTAATCATAGCCGCAGAAGGAAAGCTTGGATTTTATATCACACTGTAAGCAAAGTAAAAAAAAAAAAAAATTCTACAAAGTAAATAAATAATAATAAATAAAAGTAATTGTTGTTATTTCTTTCTTAGGTCCGCCTCGCCAACACCCAGACAAACAAATCCTCCACCATCTACTCCACAGAGTCCCCTGTCATCTCTCTGACATCCAAGTAAATGTCTGATCCAAACAGTACTTATAAGACAACCCGGTAAAGATGTGCAAAAAGCCTTTATTTATTATATTAAGAGTAGAAACATCTCATATTAAAGAAATGTATGAAATCCACCCTTTCGTATGTGATTAGGTGGAGTATAAGTTTATCAGACTATTTAACTCAAGCCTTCCTGTTTCCATTGGGTTTCATTAGATGGAGCATACTTCTATTTCTCTTCCCCCTCCTCAAACTCCGAAAGATTAGAGAAAAATACCAGTGAGGTTTAGGTTTGTTGACCTTTATACGTCAAAATTTAACTAGAACATTTATGTGAACCTCAACATAAAAAGAAAAGTTCAAAACTACTGAAGCTGCGGTAAAGGAAGCCAGCTAGTTTTAACATCCCTCACTGTGAGAAGAATTTCTGAAGGAGGTGGAAAATATAAACAAACATCCCTGTCTTGTTGGAATAAAGACATGAGAATCTTTGTCAGACTTTATTTTTAAGCATTTTTGCACAGCTTTACCACAGATCCTAGTGTTTTAATCTTATTACTTTAAATAGTCTGATGTTTGTGATGTTCCCAATCATAAAAATGTTAAGCTATTTTGCATGTTGTTCCTGCCAGTACAGATAATAGTTAAAAATCCATGTTTGTGTTAGTGTTTCTGGGAAGGGTGTCCTCTCTGGTCACACTGATGGGACTGTGGTGCGCTACTTCTTTGATGATGAAGGCTCAGGGGATTCTCAGGTGAACATAGATTAGATCCGACTCATATTACCATAATTACTCATTATTACCGTACACACATGACTCAGAAGTCTTCTTAGGTCTCTGTTTGGCTGTTTTTCATCTCAGGGTAAGCTGCTGACTCACCCTTGCCCCCCGTATGCTCTGGCCTGGGGTGCAAACAGCATCATGGTGGGCGGCTGCGATAAGAAGGTGGTGGTGTACGGCAGGGATGGCCAAGTCCTGCAGAACTTTGACTACAGCCGAGACCGATCAGAGCGAGAGTTCACCGTGGCGGCCACCAGCCCCAGCGGACAGTCTGTGGTGTTCGGCAGCTTCGACCGGTCAGTTTGAGGCTGTCTCTGTTGTGTTGCTATGGAAACATAGAGCTGCTATCCAAGCAGAAACACAGACCAATAAAGTACAGAAATAATTTATTGTTCTAACATGTTTGTATGGTACTATATATTTATTTTCTAATGTGATAATATATCACTCAAACATAAAACTTATATTGTTTTATACTGTTTATATTTAGAACAAATTTATAACCTTATAACATTAGGAGGTTAATGGAGCAGAGGAGTTGTTAACAAATATCTCCCATCCAAGAACAGATGGATTCTGTTTGATATCTGGACCAGAAATCACAAGAGATTTTACCTTTTATTCATCAGCTTGGGAGACATTTATCATACAAACACTGAGAAGGAACGAAAACAATCGTACAATCTGGACGGAGCAGAGGAAGAAGCTCCATGGATAAAAAAATAAACCACCTGGACACATTCAGGGGGTTATGATGTCAAAAGGAGACTTTACTGATACATCTGGATGGAGTATGGTGTGAATTTTGTTTTATTATTGTTACAGGCAAAGAAGACAGAAATATTATCCAGAAATTAAACTTGGGAAAAAAATTGTTTTGAGAGCAGCTTTGCTGTTTTTTCATGATTAGTTTTTTCTTAAGTCTGCCAAAGAGGTTATGTTTTTAGGAGAGTTTGTGTGTCTGTGAACATATTTTAAAGAATTTTTTTACCAAAGGTGGAACTCAGTCCAAGGTAAAATTAATTCAGCTTGGTGATGATCGGGATCTCCATTGGGATCCAGGAATTTTATTGAAGATTCTCTAACATTAAAAGAGAAGGATATTTGGCAGAACAAGCACACTGGAAAAAATGGAAATCTTGGTAGGTGATTTTTTTTTTTTAATAAGTGCATTTTTTTCTTTGATTGAGAAGGTAACAGAGACATTTTGCCAATGGAACAAGACAATTTACACTCAAAATAAGAAAACTCAATTGCATTGTCTTATTTCTAGTGGATATTATCTAAATATCTTATTTTAAGAGTAAAAACACTCATTCCATTGGCAAACTATCTTATTTACCTACTCAAATTAAGGGTAAATACACTTAATTTAAGAACATTTTACTTATTTCTAGATTGTTTTTCCAGTGCAGTTCCCCACTAAACCAGAGGGTGGCAGCAGTGACTATTGATTGCCTCAGCATAGGACTCAAAAAGTGTGGAGGGATTTTACTGAAGATAAAAACACAAGGAAAGGGACTGTTGTTGGTTTGTTAGCAGGATCTATTAAAAAACTTATGAACACATTTAATCAGAATTTGTTACCAGAGGTGCACCGCATGCCAAGGCATGATTAATGAATACACTTACCCCAGAAGTGTAGAATGCAATCCGTAAAACGTAATTTAAAAAGAATGCAATTCGTAAAACACAATCTGGAAAAGAGAAATTGAAAAAAAATTAAAATTTAATGTAAAAAGTTACATTAAAGGCCTTTTTTTTGATTAAGTAGTTTTTCAAAGATGGGTTTCTACATTGCATCTTTTTTTTTTTCAAATTTCCATTAACAAAATGTCGTCTTTGCTTGCAATAATAATGGATTAAATTTCACTCTATAGAAGAGTTGAACCAAGATAAAACTGACCTTAATGACTGTCGAACAATGACTGCTATAATAAAATTAGGCTGTTTGAAACAGGAATAAATGCTGCTTTAAAGTAAATGTTTAATTTTATTTCAGTAATGCATACTGTTCTTACAAAATATTGTATTTCCAATAATATGAAGTTCTAGATTTACATCGACGAATATGCATATTTTAATAATCTGATAGTTTATTATAAACAAAAAAGATTTAGCTCTATTTTGTCATCTTGTTTGACAGTTCCATATTAATAATAAAGTTTAACATGCTTTCCTTGGTAATACTGTTGCAGACTGCGAGTGTTTAACTGGTCCCCAAGGAGAGGCATGTGGGATGAAGCCAAACCCAAAGAGATCGCTAACCTCTACGCCATCACCAGCTTGGCATGGAAGACGGACGGATCCCGCCTTTGTGCTGTGAGTCTATCATTTCTCTCAATGCTTCGGTCTGCATGTTGACTGAAAGGTCAGGTTATTTTGAATGAAACAACCTCAGTGAACCTCTGTATTTTTATGACAATCATCCCATCAGTTTTGTGCTAAAATTATATAATAATAATTAGGGATTCTTTCCTATGTTTCTTCGGCTGTGTCCTTTCAGGGAACACTGTGTGGCGGAGTTGAGCTGTTTGACTGCTGCTTGAGAAGAACCATCTATAAGAACAAGTTTGAAATGACCTACGTTGGCCTGAGTCAGGTAGAAACCCTCTAAGCAACAGATAAACAGATTAAAGGATCAGCTCAGATGAGGACTGACACTAAAGGAAATCAGCTTCTTCATGTTATGTTTCTACCCCAGGGAAGCAGAAAGATCTCTGTTATCACTGAAAGGATCCAAGAAAAACTGATAATCTTTAAAATATAAATCAAAATTTTCAGTGACATTTATTTTTTCAGAAAGAACTAATAAATGAGAATGTCACTGATAGTTGGTATTAAAAATAGCTCATTGATTTGCTTTCCTATTAGTTTTCCAATCTGTGAGTCTGCTGCTGAAATGAGGTGGAGGCTCATAAGAGGAGTAACCTGACTTCGCCAGATGGATTTGCTCCGCATATCCATCTGGAAACCTTCCATTGAAGTAATTTTGGGAAGGGGCGAAAATACTGGTTAGCTGATTGGCCTATGTTGGTGATAGACGGGCCAAATAAACCAATCAGATCAACGAAGCATATGACGTACTAACAGAGCGACGACGAAGAGGAGCCAATTGATAGATCAAACTCTTGCCGAAACCAGTCGGGAGAAGAGCAAAAACATCTTTTCCTCTGAGAAAAGCCTCCAGAGCAGTGTTTTGCTCTTCTTTCAGTGAAGAAATACTCTGTAATTCCGATAAAACTTGCTTGATAGCCACGCTAACGCTAGTTTCATCGGCTGAAGCCGCCATGTTCTTTAGACTGAACAGTCGCGCTTCTCGTTGCGTCCCACCTCAACCCGCCTCAAAGCCAACGCTGATTGGACATTCGTTTGGTGAATGGCTCCAAATTTTCTTTAACAGAGAGTCTCCAGACTGATTAGCGAGTGAAATCTTGAAAGCTCGCGAGATCAGGATGGTCTCACAAAGCTATAAGAGGAGAACTTCTCTGTTAGAAAACATCCCAATTTGTCTATAGATTAAATTAACGACCAAACTAAACTTCTTTTTTTACGCTTTTTATTTGCAAACTGTTTTAAAGAAGAAAAAAAAACAAACACCCATTAACATGAGGTCATGGGTTGGTAAATATAATCAAGCAGACTCCAGCACCTACATTTAAAACATCACAGATTTTACATCCATAATATGTAATATTTAAAGAACACTGTCACCCTTGAGAAAGTCCAACCTTTCATCTTCTTCTTTCCAGTTCTCCTTCCAGCCGCAGGAGAAAAGTCAGACGTTCTATTTGTCAAATATTTTTCTACTATGGAAGTAGAGTTTTAGTAGGAGCGTCTTTATTAAAACCGTTTTTTGTTATGTCCTTTTTTTTTGTAGATTGCCATTTTTTTTAGCAGGTTAGGATCATCCTCTAAGTTATCTGAAAGAAAACCCAAAAAACATCCATTTGAATGAAAACTTGATCTTAAAAACCAGAATATTTAAGATTATTTATAATATATCCAGAAGGTCTATCAAGATGAGCAGGACCAGAATATGCGACCATGATCTGCTTTGACGTCCCCACAGTTTTTCTGATTCAGTGCTGAATTATAACTTTTGTTTTGGAGTTATGTAGAAATTGATTATGTTCTTCCAACTTAAGTCTCAGCAGGTGTTGGAATTAGTCAATGAAAACCATTTCCAATCATTTTCTACATTTCTTCTGTGATATCATTGTTCAATTATTTTTCCCATTTTTCTATTAAGTGGTCCATTGAGCCCCCTAGAAACACTGATAGACAGCTTTGTTGCACTCTAACTACCTGAAAAGTATCTGGGGATAAACGTTTTCACTCCTTGCCTAATATAGTTACAGGTATCTGGAAAAAGGCATGTCTCACCATCCTGTAGGCCTTTACATTTTTTTTTTAAAGCAATTGGTTTAGTTTTTTCAACAGCTGTGTAAATTTTTGTTCTTGTAATGTGTCAGGAACCGAGGACAGATGGACCCAGTATTCAAGGAGAGACAGTCAGTAGGAAAGTTCAAAACGTTTATTAAATAAACAAACAAAACAAAAGCGGAGCTGTGGCTCGCGGACACTGCAGGTGGGGGGGCGGGGCAACGCACAATCTCAGACACTCTTGTTTAACAGTCCAGACCAAGAATGTCCCCAAGTGCTGCAGTCCCAGAGGACATCCTGGAAGCTGATCCTGGTCAGGGATCCAGAACAGACAGGAACAGACAGAACAGGCAGGATCCAGATCAGGCAGGGACAGAAACAGGATGGCAGGATCCAGACTTTCAGGCATCCACAGGCTCCCAGGAGGGTTCAGAGTCTGACTGGGACCAGAAGCGTGACCAGGCGGTCACGCACAGGAGCAGACAGGATCAAGTGCAGACAGGTTGGCTCAGTGGAAGAGGGTAGCCGAGACAGGACGTAGGAACCGGAACTTGAAGCAGGACATTAAACTGGTCTCCTCCCTGGAGCCAGGCTTACTGGATAAAAACTGAACCTCCCCACATAATGAGCCAAAACCCAGAGGACTCCGTGGGGAAGGAACAGTGGACGATCAGGAGACGAGACAAACAGAAAAACCCTCTTTCCACTAGCTGCTAGGATCCAGGACACGAACCAAGGAACAAAACTAACAGACAGGCTAACAGAAAGACAAGTAATGATCTGGCCCTGAATGCTCAGGCTAAACTGAATTTAAACTAGAGGAAACAGGTGAGAGGAATAAATTATAATTCAGGCAGGGAGGGAAAACAGCAGGTGAGAGGAATTACTAATTAAGGGAGAGCAAACAGGCCAGATCATGACAGTAATGATTAAAATCATAATAGACAACAATTGTTTGAGAAAGATGTCCATAAACGATCTAGCATCTCAGATTTAACCCTGTAATGCCAAATGTATCATATTTGATACGTACGGTTTCTGAAATGTTTTGTGTCTGACACCTTTTGCATAATTTAATGGTAAAAACTTTGCTCAAAATCCTATTATACACAATCAGATATACCTGATAACAGAGGGCAGAAGACTACACAAAAAATAATCTTCAAACCAAAAAAAAAGTAATTTTCTGTTTTGTTTTATTCTTGGATCGGGCTTTAAAGGGTTATCAGGAAAATAAGTAATAAAAGAGCTCATCTTTACCAACGATGGTTAAGATGTTTTTTTTGTCTGCTTTGCTCATTGATTAAAATATTCGTTATTCAGCTCAATGTACCATAACAGGCCTGGACAGAATAAGGAAACAGATTCCAGCCATACTTGAAAACAATCACTTTTTATTTAAGCTACAAGATTTAAATAAACAAGGAGATTAAATCAATTAATTACTAATAATTAATTGCAGCTTCAAATGAGACTTTTAACAAAGAAAGTAAAACATTTTTATGAATAAGTTTGTGTCTTAAAGCTGTCAGGCGTCTGGATCAGTTAAACTTTTCACACCAAATGAATGTTTTGATTTTATATTTTTTCCCTCCAGGTGATCGTAAGGAACCTCTCCACTAGAACAAGGGTGGTGCTGAAGTCCATTTATGGCTATGAGATAGAAGAAGTCAGGATCATGGGAAAAGATCGCTACCTGGTGGCGCACACCTCTGACACTCTTCTGCTCGGTGACCTAATAACCAGCAAATTAAGCGAGGTGCTGAACGTGTTCATCGTTGTAAACTAACAAACTGTCTCTGGTCTTTATTTATGAAGCTGTTAGCAGATTTCATGGCCGACGGTCAGAAAAGTGCAAATCTGTGTGAGAGAAGTCAATTTGATTTTCTCTCTGTCTCCCTCAGGTTCCTTGGTCCGGTTCTGGAGGAAACGAAAAGTTCTTCTTCGAAAACGAGACGGTTAGTTAGCAGACATCTTTTCTTCTTTAAAGGACAGAGTTACGTATATTAGATAAACAGTCATACTCATAAAGCCGTGCTTTTGTTTGCTTTTAAATCTGCCCTCTCAGGTGTGCATGATTTTTAATGCCGGGGAGCTGAGCCTGGTGGAGTACAGTAACAACGAGATTCTGGGATCTGTCAGGACGGAGTTCATGAATCCACACCTCATCAGGTAGCCACGACAATATATTAAGATCCTCTGAAGTCTAAAATCTGCATGTGCCTCTCCTTTCATTTTAAACAAAGAAAATAAGCAGTAATATCAGCCTGATTGTTAGGATAAACAACTTGAAAGGCAGGATTATTTGCAGCAGTTTTTGGTGCTGAGACAACTGCGTCTTATTTGTATAGAACAGAGCGTCTGGAGGGTCTGGATCTGGACCCAACCTTATTTAAAACATTTATAAATTACTGGATTTTCTCAGATGACAGTGTCTAATTTCAGTTGCGCCGCTTCTCCTGTTAATATGATAAAGCGCTCCAGAGCGTCCAGCACCAAGTTACATGTGATACAAATTAGCCAATGAACTGTGGCGAGCCGGGCGATGGGAAAGAAGGAGAAGACGATGAGAAAAAGAAAGCAGAGAAAGTGTGGACTGCTGGAAGAAGCGGTTAACTTGTGACAGAAAATTGAAATGGCGTGCTCAAAGATGACTGCACATTTAGAGTATATTTTGCTCAACCTGCTGCTGTGAAGCAGGATTCTCCACCATGAACAGAATAAAAAATAAATATGGATCCAGGCTTAAAATGAGCACCTTTATATGTGTTTGAGAATGGCTTAGTCTCCATTAAAACCCAGGTTTAAAGCCTTGCAGGTCAGCCTGAAGCCCACTGCTCTCATTAAGCCAGAAAAAACAAAAAAAAGGCCAGTGTTTTATAAAATATGTGAATCAGGAAATTGTCTATATACCGAACTGAATAATTGTTGTTCTCTACTAAAAAAAACAAAAAAACCCACCAGATTTTAAAATGGAAACATTTTTCATTTTTAAAAATTTTTTTTATTTAAAAATTAAATTTATAACATGGATGCATAAACACCTAATTTTTTTCACTGTTAAATTCTGTTTAAAGTAACAGATCATAATTAAAAATGTCTCCGGACCTTTACTGGTGGATGATTTTCTTTATTCCGACCCAATGATTTTTTAATTGATTACCCCTGGTATAGAAAAACAAAACAAAAACTTTGCAGCTGAGTCCACTGGATGGCGACATAGAGCTTTGCAGAAATCCGAGCTTTAAGAATGAAGCAGAGGCTGCATATCAGAGCATATCCATATTAAGGTCTCAAGGCCGGCACACTGAGTAGGACTAACAGTGGGTGTCATGGCTGCTGAGGTGAGCAGGTTTCTTCCTGCTTGCCTCTGGCTGGACTTGGTTTTTTAATCATGATCAGGTGCAGCTGTTTCTCACCGTTCCTTCGGCTATAATCCCCTATGGTGTCCTGATGCCTAATATAATTGTTGCTTGTAAAAAACAAAACCCTCACATGCATTCAGTAATTTATAACTCATCACTATGTTTGCTTGTTTGTTCAGTGTGCGACTAAATGAGAGGAAGCAGAGAGGAGTGGAAAACAACAAGAAACTGGCTTATCTGATCGACATAAAGACCATTGCTATTGGTAAGAAATAGGAAGGTTGTTTGAAAGAACGAGGTTGTTTGTATGATTTCGACACGACAGGTAAAAAAAAAAGATGTCTACTGGGGTCAGTGGTGTCTTTGATATGCATCAGCTAAGCTTTGTCAGGGTAAAAGGATTTGTAGAATATCAGGAAGGTTTTTTTGGTTTATTTTATCTTTCTCATACAGTTTGTTGAACTTGAATAACAGTTTTCAGAGCTTGAATTCTAGAATAATGTGTTTAAAAGCTTCAGTTCTTGCTGCCGTGATTAAACTTATAACCTGTCAGGAAGTGAATGGGTTGGGTTTACATGTGCACCACTTTATTCATTAATTTTCTTTTTTTTTATTCATGTTTCAGTTTAATTCCAATGATTTTCAAATAGTTTTTGTTTTAGAGCTTCCTTCACAAAATCGATAAATCCTTCCGTTACAACACCTGTTACCTGAACAAAAGCACCAGTTTCCATCTCTAAAGTGACACCTAGTGGATTAAAATGGTTCCTTACGCAAAAGTTTTTGAAGTATGTTTCCCACGCCAACCTTCACTTTCTAACACACTGGAAAAACGATCTAGAAATAAGTACAAATTTCTGAAATTAAGTGTATTTACCCTTAATTTGAGTAGGTAAATGAGATGATTTGCTAATGGAATGAGTATTTTTACGCTTAAAATAAGATATTTAGATAAAACGCACTTCAAATAAGACAAAATAAATGCATTTTCTTATTTTAAATGTAATTTTTTTTGTTCCATTGGCAAAATGTCTCTTTTACCTTCTCAATTCAAGTACAAATGCACTTATTTTAAGAAGCAATTACTTATCTAGATTTAGATTTTTTTTTCCAGTGCATAAACATTTGCTTACATTTTGCATCCAGAAAATTCCTGCTGAAACTTCCATTAGGTTTATACCATGAAGACCTTCTCATTTGCTAATGTCACAGGTTAAGCTCTGGATTTTCCTGCTTTAAATGAAACTTAAAGTACATATACACTAATAAGCCATGCCATTATTACCGCTGAGAAGTTCTTCTTTAGGCTGTAGAGGAAACTATTGCTGGTTCTCATTGACGTTATGTCAGAAAACACGGTGGGAACTGTCCACTGCTGAAACGGGATATATGTGAACATCAGACTGGAAGCAAAGGAAGAATGTTACCTGATTTTTGGTCGTCTTTTGTGTCGTTTTGAAAGCTTGGTGTGATTGCATGAGGAACATGTGGCTCCAGCCTTTAGGAGTTTGCTTTCTCAAGGTCTTAACCCGATCATAGATGTTTGGGATGTGCTTGTCTTTGTCCCGGACCAGAAACCATGGCACACATTCATGAGTCTAATTGGGGTCCATACCTTCATATAAACTATTTGACCAAAACGTTGGGTCCTGGATAGAGGACAATTATTCAGAGAAAGCTTAGTTTCTGGTTCTGGTAGTGTACTGTCATTATTCAAACCAATAAATCAGCTTAAAAGGATTTTAAAAATCAACCAGGCTTTATATAAATGATTCTGTTCCATTTGTGTGGGTTCCATCTCATACAGGAAGAGAAGGACATGAACTGGCAGATAAATGTGCAAAGAGGGGAGTTTGTAAAACAGTTATAGATTTTGAGTTAGAGGTCTTGTTTAATATTAAAGATAAGATTAAAAGAAAGTTGCAAGGAAGATTGGAACAAGAAGTGAAAAGGTTTTGAGAAAAATATAAAAACTGTGGATATTGTGGAAAATTGTGAAGAAACAGTAGAGGGTGTCATTATTAATTATACTGAGTATTAAAACCAGATTTTATTTAGAGAAATAAAAGATTCTTAATCATATAAATATGAACAGGTAATGGGTCAGACTTTGTTGTTAAGGCTTTATTTGCATTTTTAGGAGCCAGATCTACTGTGGTCTTTCTGTCCCATACTCTTTTTCAAAAAGCGGCAGTAATGTACATCAAAAGTTGTTTGCATACGACCAAAAAAAATAATAAAACATCCAAGAAGATGATGTTGGGGTCACCCATTCAATCTAGGGAATTCCAGTAGCTTCCACAAATCCAGAACCTATGCATGCAGGATGCAAGGTCCACAACTATATGGAGTCTTGGTCTCAACCTGATAGAAAAACTTTGGTGTAAATTAGACGTGGGATTGTGAGCCTGACCTTCTGTTCCACCATCAGTGTCGGACCTCATAAATGGTCCTGAATTCCCCATAAACAGGCTTTTAAAAATAGTGGAACGCCCTAACAGAAGAGTTGGGTCTATTGCAGCAGCAGAGAGTGGGCTGGTCCCCTACACTGCAAAAAATCTAAATCTAGATAAGTCATTTTTTCTTAAAATAAGTGCATTTGTTCTTGAACGATGAGGTAAAAGAGACATCTTGCCAATGGAACAAGACAATTTACACTTAAAATAAGAAAACAATTGCATTGTCTTATTTCAAGTGCATATTATCTAATTATCTTATTTTAAGAGTAAAAATACTCATTCCTTTGGCAAACTATCTCATTTACCTACTCAAAGTAAGGGTGAATACACTTAATCTAAGAAATTTTTACTTATTTCTAGATAATTTTTGCAGTGTATTTAACCCTACACTGGAAAAAAAATCTAGAAATAAGTAAAAATGTCAGAATTAAGTTTATTTAACCTTATTTTGAGTAGGTAAATGAGACAGTTTGCCAAAGGAATGAGTATTTTTACTCTTAAAAGAAGATAATTAGATAATATTCACTTGAAATAAGGCAATGCAATTGGTTTTTCTAATTTTAAATGTAAATTGTGTTGTCCTATGGGCAAAATGTCTCCTTTACTTCCTCAATCCAAGAACAAATGCACTTATTTTAAGAAAAAAATTACTTATCTAGATTTAGATTTTTTCCAATGTATTGAATAAGAGAGGGAGGTTATTTAAGTTCATATGTGCTTGAAGTTAGAAAGGGAAGGCCTAATTTTCTGTGAAATCATTTTCAAGGACCGATGACTCAAACTGCCTCTGGTAAACTTTTATTGAACCGAATCAATTGTTTTTGTTTTTCCATTAGAGGCTCAGCCTGATTAGCTTCTAGCTATTTAAGGCCACCCAACATTTTATTGCACCAAACATCAAATCTAAGGACTGATCCATTTTAAACTCCTGAAACCAAGGAGACAAAATTCTCCATGGCTCTTGATCAACATTACTGTTAACCTTTTTATCAGAAATAGATGCTTTATTTTTATTTTTTTTCTTATCTTGGACTGTGTTGAGGCTTTGATTATCAACAGTTTCTCTGTGCAACATTTTTTAATTTAGACTTGATATCAGAATATTATTGATTGCAGTTTTTGTCACTTATATTTTTCCTTTTTTTCAAAATCATTTACAGAAAAACTGAACAAAACATTGCATTATCTTTTTCTTTTATTCATATTTTTATTAAAAATCCACATGTATGCAGAGTAAAATGGCAATATAGCAGCGTTTTAATAGAGGGAATAGAGGAAAAAAGTGATTTTAATCCTGAACCAAGCCCATTTTTAAGCTTTCTGCTGTCTGTCACTCAGTTAATCTATGGGTTGTTTTTCCCTCCTCAGTGGACCTGGCTGAAGGCTACAACCTGGGAACCATCAGCCACGACTCTAAGATTGACTGGCTGGAGCTCAATGAAACCGGACGCAAACTGCTGTTCAGGGACAAAAAGCTGAGGGTGAGAATGAAACCTCAGCGCCTCGAGGGGCCTGAAAGGCTGGAAACAATGAGATGAGGACCTCCAGGCTGTGAATTAAAGAGGGAAAACGACGGACAAATATAGCAGGAAAAAAACATTTATCCTTAGCTGAGGCTTGTCGGCTGTCAGAGCTGCATCCATCACCCATAGTGTGCCTTCTGGCTCCGCATGCTAACAGTTTGGTCATCTGGGAGCTGTGATGGAAAGCTGGGATGAATGTTGATGCTCCTTAAACTGACAATTATGGATTACAGTGCAGGGTTTCTCACTTTCCAGTTTAGTTCATTATAAGTTTGGGATTTTATTTTCCAAGTTTCTCATAAAAATAACCCATATAGGTGGTTTATTTTAGATGAATACATTCAGTAAAATACTAAACTTTAATTTTATAATGAGATTAATTTAACACAACATAATCAAAACAATATTTAATCTTTAATTGAATTTTGTTAAATATATTTGGACTTTTACAGACTTTATTGTCATTTTGTACACACAGAGTGTATACAAAACATTTCTTTCAGTGCAGCTCTCAAGACATTTCCATTTCTAATGTGCAGCAGTGATAAAATGTAAACATGCTGTTCAAATGTAAACACAGGACTGGTATATGATTTACAGTTTTCCAACATTCTGTACGTTTTTTTTTATTTTATTTTTAGTCTTTAATTCAGTTGCTCTGTATTTAATTTAAAATCTCTAACTGCTTTTAAATTAAATAGCTGTGCAGCATCAGAAAGATTAACAAATTCTCAACAATTTCTTTGAAAGGGTGACTATTTAACTTGATTTTTCCGCTTTTTCTTTCTCTAAGGCCCGGGTCTGCAACCTTTCATATCCAAAGAGCCATTTTGCCCTGAGTCCAGCCAATTAAAACTGGTTAAGAGCCGCAAAATATTACATGATTTTTTAATTTAAAAAAACATCCAATTATTTTTGTTAAATATCTGCCATAAGAAATCTGTTGCCATTTTAAATAAACAAAAACTGATTTGGATTCTTTGCCTTCAAAGTTAGGAAAAACATAAAATGATGTAAAAACTAACAAAAAAAAATTATAATGAAACACTTAGTTTCCAAGCTAGTTAAAGGAAAAATAGCTAAATCAGAATCAGAATCACAAATACTTTAATGATCCCAGAGGGAAATTACTTTTGTTACACGCTCCAGTTACAGTTTTATATAAAATATACACGCATCCAACTATACAATCTAATAAAGATAAAAAAATAAGAATAAAAAGAGATAAAATATATACACATATAGCTCTTCTGTATATATATCTGTACGAATATCTACGCATATGTTAAAACTTGGAGGAGCTGATTCTCATCCCGGCCGCTTCACACTCGGCTGCGAACCGCCCCAGCGCACGCTGTAGGTCTTGGCAGGAGGGGGCCAGCAGAACTACGTCATCCGCAAAAAGCAGGGACGAGATCCGCTGTTCCCCAAACCAGACCCCCTCCGGTCCTTGGCTGCGCCTAGAAATCCTGTCCATAAAAGTTATGAACAGGACCGGTGACAGAGGGCAGCCCTGTCGGAGTCCAACATGCACTGGGAACAGGTCCGACTTAGTGCCGGCAATGCGAACCAGACTCCTGCTCCGCTTGTACAGAGAACGGATGGCCCCTAATAAAGGGCCCCCGACTCCATACTCCTGGAGCACCCCCCACAGGGCAGTACGAGGGACACGGTCGAATGCCTTCTCCAAGTCCACAAAACACATGTGGACTGGTTGGGCAAACTCCCATGAACCCTCAAGCACCCTGCAGAGGGTGTAGAGCTGGTCCACTGTTCCACGGCCAGGACGAAAACCACACTGCTCCTCCTGCAGCCGAGGTTCGACAATCAGCCGGACTCTCCTCTCCAGCACCCTGGCATAGGCCTTTCCGGGGAGGCTGAGAAGTGTGATTCCCCGATAATTGGAACACACCCTCCGGTCCCCCTTCTTGTGGAGGGGAACCACCACCCCAGTCTGCCAATCCAGGGGTACTGTCCCCGACCTCCACGCGATGTTGAAGAGACGCCAGAATCGCTTTGAGGCCAACCGATAGTCTTTTTCCATGGCCTCTCCAAACTCCTCCCAGGCCCGAGATTTTGCCTCTGCAACCGCCAGGGCCGTGACACGCTTGGCCTCACGGTACCTGCTTGCTGCTTCAGGAGTCCCACAAGCCAGCCAAGCTCGATAGGACTCCTTCTTCAGCTTGACAGCATCCCTTACTATCGGTGTCCACCACCGGGTTCGGGGATTGCCACCACGACAGGCACCGCAAACCTTACGGCCACAGCTACGGGCAGCCGCATCGACAATAGAGGCCGAGAACAGAGCCCATTCGGACTCCATATCTCCAACCTCCCTCGGAACCTGAGAGAAGCTCTCCCGGAGGTGGGAGTTGAACACGTCCCTGACCGAGGGTTCCACCAGACGTTCCCAGCAGACCCTCACTACACGTTTGGGCCTGCCGAGTCTTTCAGGCTTCCTCCTCTTCCAGCGTATCCAGCTCACCACCAGGTGGTGGTCGGTGGACAGCTCCGCCCCTCTCTTCACCCGAGTGTCCAGGACATGCGGCCGAAGATCAGAAGATACGACTACAAAGTCGATCATCGACCTTCGGCCTAGGGTGTCCTGGTGCCAAGTGCACCGATGGACATCCTTATGCCTGAACATGGTGTTCATTATGGACAATCCGTGACTTGCACAGAAGTCCAATAATAAGACACCACTCGGGTTCCGAGCTGGGGGCCCGTTCCTTCCGATCACACCCCTCCAGGTGTCACTGTCGTTTCCCACGTGGGCATTGAAGTCTCCCAGTAGAATGATGGAATCTCCAGGAGGGGTGCTTTCTAACACCCTCCCCAGGGATGCTAAGAAGGCCTGGTACTCCGTACTGCCGTTCGGCCCATAGGCCGAAACAACTGTCAGAGTCCTCCCCTCAACCCGAAGGCGAAGGGATGCGACCCTCTCGTCTACAGGGGTGAACTCCAACACGAGACGGCTGAGCTGGGGGGAGACAAGCAGCCCCACCCCTGCCTTCCGCCTCTCCCCGCGGGTCACTCCAGAGTAGAAGAGAGTCCAGCCTCTCTCAAGGAGCTCGGTTCCAGAGCCCTGGCTGTGCGTAGAGGTGAGCCCAACTATTTCTAGCTGGTATCGCTCCACCTCCCGCACAAGTTCGGGCTCCTTCCCCGCCAGTGAGGTGACATTCCACGTCCCCAGAGCCAGTTTAAGCGCCCGCGGATCAGGTCGCCGAGGTCTCCGCCTCTGGCTGCCGCCCAATCCACTTTGCACCGATCCCTCATGGTTCCCCCTGCAGGTGGTGGGCCCACTGGGGGATGGCCTCGCGTCGCACCTTCGGGCTGGGCCCGGCCGGGTCCCGCGAGGAAGAACCCGACCACCAGGCGCTCGCCAACGAACCCCAACCCCAGGCCTGGCTCCAGGGTGGGGTCCCGGCTCCGCCGTACCGGGCGACGTCACTTGCCTCGTTTTTGTGCTCATCATAAGGGTTTTTGAACCGCTCTTCGTCTGACCTGTCACCCAGAGCCTGTTTGCCTTGGGAGACCCTACCAGGGGCATTTAGCCCCCGACAACATAGCCTCTGGGATCACCCAGGCACTGAAACCCCTCCACCACGTTAAGGTGGCGGTTCAAGGAGGCCATGGTTCTCGACCGGAAAAAGGTGGCTTGTCCCCTTCAGGTTGGAGGAGAGTCCCTGCCTCAAGTGGAGGAGTTCAAGTATCTTGGGGTCCTGTTCACGAGTGAGGGAAGAATGGAGCGGGAGATCGATAGACGGATCGGTGCGGCTGCTGCAATAATGCGGACGCTGCACCGGTCTGTTGTGGTGAAGAGGGAGCTGAGCGAAAAGGCAAAGCTCTCAATTTACCGGTCGGTCTACGTTCCTACCCTCACCTATGGTCATGAAATTTGGATCATGACCGAAAGAACGAGATCCCGGATACAAGCGGCTGAAATGAGCTTTCTCCGCAGGGTGGCTGGGCTCTCCCTTAGAGATAGGGTGAGGAGCTCGGTCATTCGGGAGAGGCTCAGAGTAGAGCCGGTTCTCCTCCACATCGAGAGGAGTCAGTTGAGGTGGCTCGGACATCTTCTTCGGATGCCCCCTGGACGCCTCCCTCGGGAGGTGTTCCAGGCATGTCCCACCGGGAGGAGGCCCAGGGGACGACCCAGGACACGCTGGAGAGACTATGTCTCTCGGCTGGCCTGGGAGCGCCTAGGGCTTCCCCCAACAGAGCTGGAGGAGGTGTCTGCGGAGAGGGAAGTCTGGGAGTCTCTGCTTAGTCTGCTGCCCCCGCGACCCGGTTCCGGATAAAGCGGGAGACGACGACGACGACGACGACGATGTTAAAACTAAATCCAAATAAAGTGAAAATCTAAACAATATATATATTTCTCGTGCTTTCCAACATGTTTTATAAAACCCACAAAAGCATTTAAGACTGGTAAATGTTCTCATAGTACATTATTTAGTTCTTTATGTCATTAAAGCAACTGTTAGGAGCCATGGTAGAGGGTCCAAGGAGCCACATGAGGCTCCGGAGCTGCAGGTTGCAGACACCTGCTCTAAGGAAACTGTAAGAAGTCGAGTTGAAATACAAATTTTCTGCTTGAAGATTTAAGTGCTTTGCTGCACTACAGCCTCTTTAGCACCAGATTAAAAAAAATCATTATAAAAATCCATCCATGTATTTCTTTACACCTGTTAAGGATCCATATTGCTTCTTCTCCTGCCCCCTCAGCTCCACCTGTACGACATAGAGTCCAGGATGAAGACCACACTGCTCAGTTTCTGCTCCTACGTCCAGTGGGTGCCCGGCAGCGACGTGGTGGTCGCCCAGAACAGAGGCAACGTGTGCGTCTGGTACAACATCGACAGCCCAGAAAGCAGCACCATGATCCCCATCAAGGTGACAATTTGCGCACAAGATCCCAGAAACATCTCATCACAGATTACATACAGATGCTGCCTGTCGTCATCTTTGGGTTTTCCTACATTGTGTAAAGTGTTCTGCACAGCTTTCTTGGTGAATTTAAACCTAAACATATAAAAATAGTAACAGTTTAATAGAAAAATCTCAGATTACTGTGAAATTTAGCCCAATTCTGTTTTTCCCAAAATCAGTAAAAAAATTAACTTTAAAAAGTCACACTGGCAAAGAAAAAAGGCGTAATTGAAAACATTTTCATCTATAATTACTTAATTGAATAAAACAGCTGCACTACCTTAGTGGTTGGGGAGGAATTTTAAGGCCCTAAAGGACTTAAAACAGTCCCATTTCTTTACAGTCCCATGTAAAGAAAAATGAGTGATCAACACGTAAACACTGGTTACTTCTTCAATACACAGTACGCTTCAGACACATTGTTTCCTCTCACTTTATTCCTGCTTGTGCTTCTCTGCTCCTGCACTGCAAAAAACATCTAGAAATAAGTAAAAAAAAACTCTTAAATTAAGTGTATTTACCCTTAATTTGAGCAGGTAAATAAGATGATCCGCCAATGGAATGAGTATTTTTACTCCTAAAATAAGATAATTAGATAATATACACTTGAAATAAGACAAAGCAATTGTTTTTTTCTTATTTTAAATGTAAATTGTCTTGTTCCATTGTCTTGTTCCATTGTCTTGTTCCATTGGCAAAAGAAAAAATGCACTTAATTTGAGCAAAAATTAATTCCATTTTTTGCAGTGTGGGAAAGCTGAATTGATCCAAACCTCTCTTCAGTCACCATTCTTGGGCAGTTGGTTGCCCTTGGATTTCATGTTGTTTCTTTTGTTGCTGTTTAAAAATGTTGTTTTTCTTGTGCCATAATTTCTCAATTCCATTCCTTGCACAAGCAGCAACACCACACTGCACGAGGAAGTAGAAGTCAGCCATTTTCATCTTTTCAGAAAACATCCTTGTGTCGTCCAGCCATTTCTCTCCAGGAGTTTTCAACAATCCGTTGTTAGTGGTGATATTTCTGTGTTAAATCATAGGATTTCTCTAGATGTTTACTTTTCCTAACTCTTGTGAGCAAGAGCTGCTGCTCGCCCGCCATGTTTTCCGCGCGGACCCCTGCACATAGTAAAAATTTTCCTTGGTGTGCAGTGATGAAATTCTGTCCACATGGACATCCCATAGAGGGGCGTGGAAGCCCAAAATATGTAATTTCAGGCCGCGCTTAACGCTCTAAGCCTGTATCATGGACCCTTATAATGCAAGATGGTTTACAGATTTTATAGTAATATTGAGCTTTTAAAAGTTATTTGAAACTTTTATCATTTTTGTCAGGATGTGTTTATAATCACATTCTAATAGGGCTAAACTCTCATACTTAACTGCGTGCTAATCAGACCCTCAGCATGATGCTGCCGCCACCTTACTTGAATGCAAGCAAAGTGTTCTTCCCTGTCTCCTCCATATATTCTTATGCCATGTTTAGTCTCACCTTAAACCTTTTCTCCAGCAGCTCTTTCGCTCTCCCATGTCTTCAGCTGCTGATTTCAGTCAAACTTTAGTCTTTTACCAGAAGCTTCTTTCTTTACATCCTCTCACTCCCTGTTATTGTTAAACTGTTTTCCTGCCTATAGGGACTCTAGTATTCCAGGTGATCCTGGGCTGTTCCTAACCAGTTTCCTTTCATCTAAAGGTGACTGTCTAGCTCAGGGGTCTGCAACCTTTAGAGCCATTTTGCTGAGTGAAACTGAATAAAAGTCTATTAGAGCCGTAAATATCACTTTGACCTTTTGATAAAACGCAACTCATTCTGTCTGAACATCCACCTTAACCCCTCAGTCTCTATATAGAGCGGGGACTATATAGAAAACGGACCGTTTGGACGGATGATCACTACTTTTCACTCCTCATTGATCACGTGACTCCGCCTCCTCGCATAATGCCTGTGCCATGTTTGTTCTGTCTGGCCCTATTGGTATAATTGTTAAATATTGGAAATAGGAAACTTGCTTCTATTTTAAAGAGCAAACATTTAATTTGTTGGTTTCTTTTGGAATAAAGAAAAAAACAAACACATTTTCTATAAATAGAAAACATGAATTTTCTGGGTGTTGATATCTTTGGAAATTATGCATAACAAAGCGGATAGTTTCTAAACTAATGATGAAAAAAAACACAAACATTATTGTTACTTTTTAATCCTATTTTGCTTTGGAAAAGTCTAATGAATATTTTTGTATTAGACTTAAAACAATCTTCTAAAGCCTCTAAAACTGGCAGGTGTTATCATCCTGTATTCAGGACCAATACTTGGTTCTTTAATGTTTTTAGAAACATTAAAGATCCTCTGTAGAAGGTTGATGGAACATCTTGCAGCTCTGGAGCCGCAGGTTGAAAGTTTAGCTGATAAAGCTAAATCTATAAACCACACATTTATATTTACAGTCACCTACTTTATAATTGATTCTGCAATGGCTAAAAGCTAAAGCTCCATTACTAACCTGATGGAAAATGTATAGATGATGGTTAGAAGTCATGTTTTGGTTCCAGGAAGCCAACTAGTTTAGATGAACACTATCTATTCTGCTAATAAAAAAAATAATGAAAAGTATATATATATATATATATATATATATATATATATATATATATATATATACACAATACTTTTAATTATTTTTTTTATTACTTTATTTATCTCACATAGGAGAAATGTACCTCTGCATTTAACTAATCCCCTTGGGGAGCAGTGGGCTGCCATTGTGCGGCACCCGGGGAGCAGTTTGGGGTTAAGGGTCTTGCTCAGGGACCCAGAATGCAGGCTGTGGGAATTGAACCGGGTACTTGCAACCTTCTCAGAGCAGAAGCGTATTGCTCTAACAGGGTTTCCGCGGTTCATTAAAAATTATTAAAAGTAATTTAATTATTATTTTTTAAATTGAGGCCCTAATTGGCATTAAAATTGATTAAATGTGATTATCGTGGCATTTAAAATGCTTTATTTTTGTCAGATATATCAAATATAAATGGTTCCGCATGAGGCAAAGAAAAAGCTAGAGAATGGGAAAATGCTAATTTCAACGAGGAATTCGGGACATGGCTGCAGCCTGTTGACAGTAAAGATGACGAAGGATTTTGCACTGTGTTTTTTATATATATATATATATATATATATATATATATATATATATATATATATATATATATATATATATATATATATATATATATTAAAAACCATTAAATTAGACCTAATCATTCCTGTATAAACCCTGTTTAACCACTAGGCCAACACCCCCTGCAATTTTGATTGCTTGATCTAAATTTGGTATAGATGGATATGATCAGCAGTAAAATGAAAATGATATCTAAATGAATGTATGTCGGCCTCACACTGTATGTGAAGGAAACACGACCGTCCTGTTTGCTCTTAAGCAGAATCATCTCAGTTCATTCAACCATGTCTTGCTCATTTATAAATAACAAAATTAAAACATTTTATAAAGACTTTTATCCCAAAAAAAAAATGTTTTTATTTCCTGTTTTTTATTTTAATTTAGTTTATTCAAAGTTTATTCAAAGCAAAAGAGAGGTGAAGGCCTATTTCTCCTTTGAGTTGATAAACTTTGAGAATAAAACCGATTTTAATCTCTTTCCCAGGGAGACATTTTGGATCTTGAAAGAGGCGATGGAAGGACAGAAGTCAAGGTGACGGAGGGCGTCAGCACAGTGGGGCACCTTTTGGACGAAGGCCTCATTGAGTTTGGTACCGCCATCGACGACGGAGATTATGACCGGTACGTTCTGACCTCACTTCCTGAAAAATAAAAGAACAAGAGGCCTCTAAGGATGAATGCGGCTCCGTGTAAACATCCATCCATCCACCCTTGGTGTGAATCATTGCCTTGCAGCAGGGCCAGAAGAAGAACCCAGATGTCCCTTTATCCCTCAGCTTCCGCCTGCTCTTCTAGTGTTGTTCTGCAGCCCTCTCAGGCCAGCTGGGAGATGTAATGTGTCTCCTCAGCCTGTCGTGACTTGGACATCTCCAAGAGGAGTGTCTTGTGAATCCTGCTTATCAAATGGAGGAAATAATTAACTGACCTTCTATTTAAAGAGGAGCAGATTATTTTATTTTCCTCCAATAAATTTCCAGGGAGTTATTAAAAATTATTATATTAAATTTACCTTTACTAGCTTTTCCTCAGCTAAAACAAACAATGGCCGCCCCATCGCTACTGTTCCAAACTATTGCCACAGGTTTATTTTAATCCATGTTGAATTAACTAATAATAGAAACTTATTTGGGGTACAGATCTTGCAGGTATGCAGATTTAGATGTATAAATCTGATGTAAAAAAAAAAAATTAGATCGTTGGATGGAGCTGGATGTGACCATCGGTTTGTCAGGTACGCTGTCTTGCTTGTCTTGCTCCAGTCTTATGATGCTACTTAATGGTTTTCTTCCAGTATCGGAATCTCGGTCCTCAGGACCTGCTTTCCTGAATATTTTCTACGTTTCTCAGCTGCTCCATACCTCAGCTGAATTAATTTTAGATGAAAAGTACCTGAGAAGCCTCATCCAATCATCTGAAGCAGGCGTGCTTAAGCAGAACCAACAGAATATACCTGTTGAACAAAATGCCCCCCATACCCTTATGAATTCACCTCCATTTCACAGTAGAGACGCCATGTCTCTGCATTTCTTGCTCTTTCATTTTTAAAGTAGAGCAAAAGTGGAGTTTTCCCATTATTTTTCATAAATCAAAAAAAAAAAAAACTCAAAGTTAACAGATTGTCTCATCTGAGCTACGGACCTCTGCAGTTCCTCAACAGCTTGTGCTGCTTGGCTGCATTCCGAAAAAGTAAAAAAAAAACATCCACTGGACTTTGTTTGAAGACATTTCACTTCTCATCCAGGAAGCTTTTTCAATTCAAAATGTCAGAAATAGCGTTGAGTTCCAGGTTTAATACAGTAGCCCAACAAAGCCTTTGTTTTGCTTAGAAAACATCAAGGGACGAAAGGGTCCACCCCTTTGGAATGGGGGTCTTTTCACTTATTTCGTTAGCCTGCAATGCCCCATACCTGTCTGTGTCCATGTAAGGGGGGGGCGTTAAAGGGAATTTTTGGCTTGGCTGAATAGGCGGGGTCTTCTGTTCCCCTGTAAGGGGGTGGGGTTTGCGGTGATAGTGGGAAAGAATCAACTCAATCGCTGAATTGTAGGTTTTTTAAAGCTGAAATCTGAGTCCATCCCCTCTGTTTAATAGTGTTGCACTGATACCAGTGTCGGGCAGGGCCCCGTTCCAGCACTAAAACAGTGGTATCATTATCGGCGAGTACCAATAAATAGGGCACCGATACCATTTTGAGAGCAAAAAGTTTATTCAACTATTGTCCCCAATTCCAGGTAGGCAATACAAAGTTCTACTGGATTCACTTTGTATTAGACTTTTTCCTGCTTCACAAAGGAAGGCAGCAGCTTGACAAAGCCATGATGGCAATTATTTTACATCCAAGTAGTATGTAGTTCTTCATATATACACAAACACACATCAATTTCAAACAGATGGTATCGTTATCGGCCGATACTACACAGCCAGGTGTTGGGGCCAAAAAATGGCATTTATGCAACACTACTGTTTAAGGTTGGTTTTTCTTTCTTAACATACATTTCTTCCTTCACGCCCCTCTCAAACCCCCTATTTTTTTTTTGTCCAAAATGTGAACATTCTGGTCCTCAAAAGAATGTCCTTTGTCCATAAGATGTACACTGCAAAAAATGTTAATCTAAGTTAGTAACTATTTCTTTAAATAAGGTGATTTTTTTTCTTAAATTGAGCAGGTAAGTGAAGCACTTTGCCAGTGGAATAAGAAAAAACAATTGCAGTCTCTTATTTCAAGTGCATCATATCTAATTATCTTATCTTAAGGCTAAAAATGTTCATTCCACTGGCAGATCATCTTATTTTCCTGCTTAAATTAAGGGTGAATACACTTATTTTAAGACGTTTTACTCATTTGCAGAATGTTTTTGCAGTGTAGTACTGCCGATTCTTCACTGGAAAAAATCAAAATCTAGATAAGTAATTTTTTTCTTAAATAAGTGCATTTGTTCTTGGATTGAGGAGGTAAAAGAGACATTTTGCCAATGGAACGAGACAATTTACACTTAAAATAAGAAAACACAATTGCATTGTCTTATTTCAAGTGCATGTTATCTAGTTATCTTATTTTAAGAGTAAAAATACTCATTACATTGGCAAACTATCTCATTTACCTACTCAAATTAAGGGTAAATACACTTAATTTAGGAAATGTTAACTTATTTCTAGATGTTTCTCAAGTGTTGGGTGCATATCTGACTACTACTCTCCTGGTCCAGCCTGTTTATTTGGGCAGAGATGATACAATGAAATGTGCTCTGTGGGAGGTTTAAAGTTTAAAGATTTTAAAACCTGTTCCCTGCTTTAAACTGAACCAGAACTTTGTCCATCACCTCTCTGCCGAATTTCTCGTTCTTTGTAATGCTGTCTGAACCTCTGAGGTTCTCACAGAACAACTGGATTTCTGACATGCTTTCATGTCCACAGTTTGTTTGGTAGCTAAAATGTTACAAAAAGGGCGTCTTTTAAGATGCAAACCAATAAATGTCTGACAATCAGAGAAGCTGATTTAGTTAGAAGAAAGTATACATCAGCAGAAGATGATCAGTATTTGATGAAATAATAAGATAGCTGATGAAGTTCATCTTTATGTGTTGGCCAGGTTTTAATGTTGTATGCTGTTTGTTTCCAGAGCAACAGCATTTCTGGAGAAGCAGGATATGTCACCAGAGACTGAGGCCATGTGGAAGACACTCAGCAAGCTGGCTCTAGAAGCACGGCAGCTGCACATCGCAGAAAGGTCAGCAGGACGACGCCGTCCGAGCAGAGAAATACACAAACCTGCCTTTTCTAATTGCGCTTCTGTTCTTCAACAAGTCGCACTTTCTATCAGTCTTCAGGTGAAAATAAGTTAGGAAAATAAATGGGTAACAAGTGCAGGATTCTCCCCCATAATACGGAAACCGTTTGTTTGCAGGAATGCATAATTGGATTCCCTGCGATGTCCAGATATACAAAATTAAACACAAGCACACAGCAGATGGTGCGTCCCGGCCTCTAGATTCATTTATCTCCAGACAGTTTTAAATCCTGCATCGTTCTCTTTTTCTCTCCATCTTTATTTCTCTCTGTTCTAAGAAACTCATCGAATCATTAATAATGCATATGCTATTCATTAGGCTTTGGCTCGATTTGCATTAACCCCAAAATCTAAGTAGGAACCTTTTTAATGTCTGGACTGGATAGTCCTAACGAGGGAGGGAACTGATTTTAATGAGGCAGGAGGGAAGATTCAGTAAGACGGACTTTTTAAATTTCCTTTCTTTTTATTTCTTCTTCATTAATCTGATGCAACTCTTCAGACAGGGTTGGTAATTACGTAGCCGAATGCTAAGATGTTTCCATTTCCCAGCCTTTCAGACTGGCGGTGTACATGAAGGCTCATTAGACTGATGCTGTTATTTATCTCACTTCGTTAAGTTTGCAGGTTTTCAGACCTCAGTTTCCTGTTGTTCCATCGCTCTCCCCAGCTCCTCCTATCTGGTTTGATTTTTTTTTTTTCTCTTCTTCTCTTGTGCAGATGTTTTGCTGCTTTGGGTGACGTCTCAACCGTTCGGTTTCTCCACCAGACCAATCAGATTGCAGACAAAGTTTCACAGGAAATGGTGTGTTTTAAAAGCATTATTTGTTTCACTCACTGAATAATTTAGTTTTTTCAGAGCCTTAAAAGAACCTTCATAAGGTTTTCTTTTTTTTTTCTTAACGTCACGAGTCTTTATTGGAACCCGCTTAAGCTCCAATTACAAAATATGTCTCGACCAGCTTTGCATACCTAACAGTTTTTGCTAAGCAGCTTTAGCTCAATAGATGTTTAAATGTCTGTAAAGTTCAATATTTAGGTTTTGCTACTTTGCTTCTTTTTTTGTTAATTTAAATCTAGACTTTGACTAGGCCATTCTTACATATGAATATTATTATGCTGCATTCACACCGGATGCAGCAGGAGCAGCGAGTTTACATGCAAAGTCAATGGTTGACACGTTCCAAGGCGCAGCAAAAGGTCTGAGGTTTGTGTCTGAGCAGCTGAAGCAGCGCGTCGGGAGCGATTAGGCATCTGAGGCGCGCGACGCGCCGCAAACGCGCTGCTGCTCGAGATGGAAAAATTGAACTTTTGCTGCTCGACGCACCGCATCAACCAATCAGAGAAGCTGATCTAGGAGATGCTAACTTAAAATAATGAAACCTGTCGACAAAGCGTGTTCGCTTTTATTATCCTGGTGCCTGCAGTTTGGATTATGTACATGATAACCACTTTCCAGCCGCCACGGCGAACTGCGAGGAGGAGACCGGGCCATAGGCTGCTGTTGAATGGATTCCTACTGACAGAGCTTCGCTGGTATGTGGGGGTCTGAGCGACTCCGACAGAAATAAATATCAGAAGGCAGGATGGTAATCTGAATGAACTGACTGCACTGATTCAGTTTTCAGGCGGATTTTCTCACTTAAAAACATATTAAAACTACTTTATTCCCACTGATCACAGCAAATATAGCTGCAAGGCAAAGAAAGGATAGAGTAGCTCCGCCCAACGCGCGTCAGACACACTTTTGCACCGCGCAGCCAGAGCAGCAAAGCTGCTTCAGCCGCGCGTCAGAACTAACTGGTACAAGCAGCAAAAAGGAAGCAGCAGACGCGATTTTGCTGCTCCTGCTGCGTCCGGTCTGAACGTAGCATGTAAAGCTTTCCGTTGTTGTTTTCTGGTCGTTGTCCTGCTTGAAAATAAACTTCTTGCTCTAACCAGCTTCCTTGTTTCTGCTAAACATCATCTTTGTGGTACAAAATGGGGCTGACCAGATTTAGCCTAAAATGACATGGCGTATTAATTTTTCTTTTCGTAGAATAGAATATAATATAATAGAATAGAATAGAATAGAAAATCCCTTTATTGTCCAACAATGGGGAAATTCTGGTGTTTACAGCAGTACAAGTTTAATAATCTACGTCAACTACTTTGTAGTCTTCCATTAGCTCTCTACTGTGCAGATATTTTTATATCTAAAGGAAACATATTCCAGGACATTACAACTTTTTTCTTTTTTTAATGCTTTTTTTATACTATATACACTCTTTTTATATTGTCTGTTGTTGTTTTTTTTATCTTTAATGGCATTTTGCTCTAACTCTTTGTACTCTATATAAGCTACTGGAACCAGAATTTCCCTGAAGGAGTTATCCAAAAGAATAAAGTTGAGTCTAAGTCTAGTGATAGGTAGTTTTGTTGCTCTTGATTTTATTTGGGGTCTCAGAGTTAATTAACCACAATACAGACATACAACAAATGTTTTCAGTTTTTTATTTGTTAAAGAAAATTGAAGACTTTCCATTTAACAATTTCTGATCAGCTTCATCATGCTGTCAGGTTTGTGGTTGCAATATAACAAGAGGGAAATGTGGGGAAAAAAGGCTTTAGACTGGAAAAAACGATCGAGAAATAAGTAAAAATGTCTGAAATCAAGTGTCTTTACTATTAATTTTAGTAGGTAAATGAGATAGTTTGCCAATGGAATTAGTATTTCTACTCTTAAAATAAAAATAATTAGATAACATGCACTTGAAATAAGACAATGGAATTGTGTGTTCTTATTTTAAATGTGAATTGTCTTGTTCCATTGGCAAAATGTCTCCTTTACCTTCTCGATCAAAGAACAAATGTACTTATTTTAAGAAAAAAGGACTTATCCAGATTTTGATTTTTTTCCAGTGTACTTTTGTTTTATATGTCAGTGAAATATCCCACTTGTTCAATAATTAACTTCCTACACTGGAAAAACAATCGAGAAATAAGTAAAAAAAAAAATCCTTAAATTAAGCGTATTTGCCCTTATTTTAGTAGGTAAATTAGATAATTTGCCAATGGAATGAGTAATTTTACTTTTAAAATAAGATAATTAGATAATATGCACTTGAAATAAGACGATGCAATTGTGCTTTCTTATTTTAAAAGTAAATTGTATTGTTCCGTTGGCAAAATGTCTCTTTTATCTCCTCAATTCAAGAACACATGCATTTATTTTAAGAAAAAAATGACTAATTTAGGTTTGGATTTTTTTCCAGTGTATATAATGTCTGTTTATTTTTCATACTGGGATCATTATTATTACATTAGTATAGTTTATAATAACTGCTCCTAGAAGCTTCTTTGCTGTCTTCTAATGCTGTAGACTGTCTAAGGTGTATTTTCTACTGTTCTACGCTCAGATATGAATCTGTGTTTTCTAAATAGGGAGAAGATGGGACATCGTTTTATAAAGTCCAAGCCAACATGGCCATGTTGGATAAGAACTTTAAACTGGCTGAGATGCATTACATGGAGCAGGTCTGTTTACCAACATAAAACATTTTGAACTCATTTGAAAAAAACTGTACAAAATCTAGATGGTTTCATTCATTGCTGATTAAATCATAACAAACAGGCTTTAAAGGAATAGTACACCCAAAACATGATTAGCCTTAATTTTCTACTCACCCCCATGCTGAACAACACTCGGGAGTACTTTTTTGATATCTCAAATGCATCTGGAGATCTGGGAGGCTTCTTGCTGTCTGCTGACATTCAAATAATGGAGGTCTATGGTGCCCGAGGCAGAAAGGTCCATAAAAGTCCACAAAAAACGTGTCAATATTCCTCCATACTGCTCGTCCAATGTATTCCAAGTGTCCTGAGTGGGTAGCATCCAAAATTTACTCGAAACGAAGTCATTTAGAATGTTTTTAGAGCATAAACAGTAGTGTATAGGATTTCCTGAAAGCGCGCACATGCGCGTTCACGGCGCTACGGAAGCCGGCAGACCAAACCAGCGTATTCAGCTCGGCAAAGAACTCATGCTCTTCCTCAACACTGAAGTCTTCAGACATTTTTCTTTCGTTGTTTCTTTCTTTGCACAGGTAAACAGCACATTTCTTCTTCTACGCCGGCATTATTGGCAGAGCAGACGCTAAATGCGCACTTTCATCTGGTTTGGTCTGCCGGCTTCCGTAGCGTCATGATCGCGCATGTGCGCGCTTTCAGGAAATCCTATACACTACTGTTTATGCTCTAAAAACATTCTAAATGACTTCGTTTCGAGTAAATTATGGACGCTACCCACTCAGGACACTTGGAATACATTGGACGAGCAGTATGGAGCAATATTGACACGTTTTTTGTGGACTTTTATGGACCTTTGTGCCTCGGGCGCCATAGACCTCCATTATTTGAATGTCAGCAGACAGCAAGAAGCCTCCCAGATCTCCAGATGCATTTGAGATATCAAAAAAGTACTCCAGAGTGTTGTTCAGCATGGGGGTGAGTAGAAAATGAAGGCTAATCATGTTTTGGGTGTACTATTCCTTTAAACCACTGTTCCTATGCTGTTTCATAATTTTTTTTGTTTTTTTTTTTTATTTAAAACCCACAGAATGCCATTGAAGAAGTCATAGAGATGTACCAAGAGCTCCACATGTGGGATGACTGCATTGCTGTGGCTGAAGCCAAGGTAAACCTACCAGATAAGAATACATGCATACAATCCTTCATTTAAACAGTTTAAACAATAACTTCTCATCATTGCCTAAATATGGACATTATGTTTCAATAACTGGGTCCTATATGACCTGGTGATTAAATCCAGATTAAATACTAATCCTTAGACCTAATAGAGTCTAATTTTCAGTTGTTTGGCAGCATTTTAGCAAACTGCTTGTTTCCTTTTGTGATGGATACAGAAAGGGCTTCATGCTGGACCGCCTTCCAATAAAATGTCTCGACATGCCTCTTGCATCCAAAGGTTGTAATAGAGACTTGCTGAGCTCATTAGGCCTCCGTTCTGTTTGCTGCCTTTCTCTAACAGTGGACTTTGAACATTTTCATTACCTCCCTCTCCATTCTCCTCACTGTGCCTGGCAGCAAAAGATAACCTTGAGTCCTCCGCCAGCCTTGTTTGTCACAGTTCCAGTTGTTTAGATAGAGCAGATATGACTGAGGTTGCAGCCAATATCCACCTATAAATTTTCAGCAATTGATTTTTCTTTTTTTTCTTTTTTTTTTTACAGTGATGCTATTCTATAAATCTTGTAGCCATGGTTACCCTATAGAAAGTCCTATTGATTTGTTTTATAGCTGCAGGTTACGTGAGAATCCAATAGATCCTGGTTATAAGTGAAATAAATGTACATATTTATGATTTTCAGTCCCTTTTAAAGCCTACTTTCTTAAATTTAAAAAAAATTTTTTTATCCCTGAATAAAAAACAGAACCTCCCGGAGCTGGACAGCCTGCGTAGGAACTTCTACCAGTGGCTAACAGAGACGGGTCAAGACGAGAAGGCCGGCGAAGTGAAGGAGAGGGAAGGAGATTTCCAGGGTGCCATCAACCTCTACTTGAAGGCTGGACTACCAGCCAAAGCTGCCCGTCTGGCCATCAGCCACCCAGAGATCTCCAGCAGCACAGAGACAGTCAATCGCATCGCTGCCAGTCTAATCAAGGGAGAGTTATATGATAGAGTAATTGATCTTCATTTATTTATTCTCTGAATTTAATCTCTGCAGCCTTTTGTTCTTCAACAGAGCAACAGTGCTCGCTGTTATCTCAGCCCCCCCCCCCCCCCCCCCATCTATCTCCATCTGTCTCTACTTTTTTCACTGTTTGGATAAAAACTTGTGTGCTTTCTTCAGAAAACATTCTGGTCGTATTTGATAAGATGTCTGAAAGGGAACAGAAGTGCAGGTAAACTTAGGTTAACTTTCAGGACTTTTTATTTGTTTTGAAACAGTCTTACTTTTTTTCTGCCTTTTCTTTTAATGCAGGCAGACGCAGCCATACTTCAAAACATAGCTAAATATCATCAAATATCTGCATTAATATGATTACATATGAATCAACATCCATTAAGTTATAATTATTTTTTGTGAAACTGAGTTGCACTTTAAAAGAGGAAAAATATTCAGTAAAACATACAATATATTGAAAGTAAATAAATAAAGTAAATCAGTATTTTAATTTTCACACATAACTATACAGACAGAGACATTCCTCTGGTATTCTGTCTAAAACCATGAATGAGGTTGGGTTTGAAATCTTGGCGCCAGGGACAACAGTATTTGGACTAAATATATTTTCAATATTTCCTTTTTCAACCGATTGGATGAAAGATCCATATTTTCAAACTGCAGCAAGAATTTAAGATTTGCAAAGAGTGAATGCATCCAAAGATCGTTCTTGCCACTAGTTGTCGACGCGTAAAGGGACCTTTTGTGGGGAAAAAACTCTGTTCACTGGAAAAAATCAAAATCTAGATGAGTCACTTTTTTCTTGGATTTGTTCTTGGATTGAGGATTTATAAGAGACACTTTGCCAATGGAACAAGACAATTTCCATGTAAAATAAGAAAACACAATTGTATTGTCTTATTTCAAGTAAATTATATCTAATTATCTTATTTTAAGAGTAAAAATACTAATTCTATTGGCAACCTATCTCATTTACCTACTCAAATTAAGGCTAAATACGCTTATTTTAAGACATTTTTACTTATTTTCAACTTGTTTTTCCAGTCCTTTGACGATCGTTAGTGTTTTTAAATCAAAAAGAGAGAGCAGCTTTACATCAGCCTCTAAAGTCAAAGCTTAATGGATGTTAAACTCTGAGTTATTCCAGTGACGTGTGGAGGAGCAATGGGTTTAATGATTCCTGTGATCAAACTCCTACAGTAGTAGCCATTCAAAATTTCCCAACTTTCTTTAATGGGTCCTTGGCTGGTCCTCTGCAATTCCTTTTCTTCAATATTTGTAATAAAACAATCTTTCTGTCTTGATTTGTGAACATTAAAATCTAAAGAGAAGCGTCATCTACTGGTTAGACCCTTTAATTCAGTGAAAGGGTGGAGTCAGATTAAAAAAACATGCAAGAGGGGGTCACTACGGTGGCTGCAAGTTGGAGGGGATTTCACTGGGAGTAGGAAGGAAGTTAGCTGCCATTCAGCTGGTGTTTCTTCCAATACAAGAAATTACTGTGCAACTGATCCACACTGGAAAAACTATCAAGAAATCAGTAATAATGTCTAAAATTAAGTGCATTTACCCTTCATTTGAGTCGGTAAATGAGATTCAATTGTGTTTTCTTATTTTAAGTGTAAATTGTCTCGTTCCATTGGCAAAATGTATGTTTTACCTCCTCAATTCAAGAACAAATGCACTTATTTTAAGAAAAAATGACTTATCTAGATTCAGATTTTTTGCAGTGTACAGCTTTCACCACATGGTACACACAGGGCAGCCATATTTGATTTTTTTTTATTAGAAAATGACTCATCTTGATTTCAGTTTTTTTCAGTGCAGACAGTTTATTCCTACACTGCAAAAACAATCTAGTAATAAGTAAAAAATTCTTAAATTAAGTGTATTCACCCTTAATTTGAGCAGGTAAATGAGATAGTTTACCAATGGAATTTGTAATTTTACTCTTAAAGTAAGATAATTCGATAACATGCATTTGAAATAAGACAATGCAATTGTGTTTTCTTATTTTAAGTTTAAATTGTCTTGTTCCATTGGCAAAATGTCTCTTTTACCTCCTCAATTCAAGAACAAATGCACTTATTTTAAGAAAAAATGACTTATCTAGATTCAGATTTTTTTGCAGTGTACAGCTTTCACCACATGGTACACACAGGGCAGCCATATTTGATTTTTTTTATTAGAGCTTGTTGGAGAACCTTTTGAGTTTTTGCCAAAAAACTCTGATCCAAAAGTTTTTAAATGAATTTGTCTGACTTTTAACTATACATGTAAAATACTAAAGCTTTTCTTAAAGGTGAAGGATATTTTCCTTGTTGTTGTCTGAGTCTTCTCAGTAATAAATCCCAGATTTAGAAAAGAAAAAACTAATTTAATTTCCATAATGCTGAGAAGAACTCTTTCTTTTCTTTTCACCAGGCTGGAGATCTTTATGAGACGGTCAGGAACAACCAGAAAGCTCTGGAGTGCTACTGCAAAGGAAACGCCTTCAGGAAAGGTAAATGATTACCCTGAGTTTTTCTCATTTTTTGATGGATTCATTTTCTTCTAAATTGTTTTATTTCCATCCTCCTGTAGCGGTAGAGCTGGCTCGTCTGGCTTTCCCTGCCGAGGTGGTGAAACTGGAGGAGGACTGGGGAGAGTACCTCGTCCAGCAGAAACAGATGGACGCCGCCATCAATCATTTCATTGAAGCAGGGTGGGTGGTCTAGATATGGACAGGTGGAGAGCGGAGAGGAGGAAAGAAAAATAAACACAGCAGACGAAGCCAGAAATCCTTTTCAAATCCTCACCAAGACTGTAATGCAAAGATAAGAGGAAATATTTTTAACCGTGCCCAAAAAACCCAAATATAGCTGGTTAGTCACAGCCCAGATTTAGCAGAGAAATCTAAATCAAAGATTCCTCTGCTTCCAACTTAGTTTGAATACTCAAGTTCAGAGGCACATTATTAAGTTCAGCTTCAACCAAAGGGGTTTTTATCGACCTGTTTACAGCAATACTTGTCTGAAAATAAAATGTCTGTGTTTCCCTCCTAGCTGCTCCCTTAAAGCCATCAAGGCAGCAGTCGCAGCTCGCCAGTGGAAGAAGGCTGTCCACATCCTGGAGTTGCAGGATGATCCATCAGCCAAGGAATTTTATGTAACGATAGCCCGGCACTACGCCTCCATTCAGGAGTACGAGGTGAGAGGAATAACTGGAGGAATGTTGGGTTCAAATGAAGCGATTAATGAGTTCATTTTAACAGAAGGGTTAAATCATAAAAATGCATTTCTTTGTCTGAGTAGATGCTCATATTACACTTCTGGTTAATGGCCAACAAGAATGATTTTGTTTTGTTTTTTAATTAATTACTTAAAATAATCTTACTCCAGGCTGATACTATGCATAACAAACATCCTCAAGGATTTTTAAATTAATAGTCCGCACAGCCTAAATGATACAATGCTTTCATGTTCCATCCGCTTTGTGACCATTATCAGTAGCAGTGAATCAGCCTCACAGCATGATGCTGCCACCACCTTGCTCGATAGTTATTAAAGCGTTCCTAGTTTTTTTTTTTTTTTTTTTCCAAAGATATTTTTATTAGAATTTTCTGTTAGACATACAAAACAAACATACACACACGCTGAAACATGAAAAATAAAGCAAAATAGACTAAAAACAAAAAGACAAAACAGAGCAAGGTGAATTCCCTCCCCCCACCCCCCACCCAAAAAGAACACTAAACCCCAGGGCTCACTCTATCTACACACTCAAAAAACGAGGAAAAAATAGCTTTACATGTCACAGTATTTTATAAGATGTAGGAAGGGAAACCAAATATCCTTAAAGTCTTCAAGCTTTCCTTTTGTTATATATGTCAGCTTTTCCATTGCCAGGTTGTTGGTCAATAGTTTAATCCATTCATTTATCTTTGGTCTTTCTGTGTTCTTCCACTTCAGAGCAATCAAATGTTTAGCCTGCAAAAGGCAAAAACTCAAAAGCTTCCCTCTCTTCATAAGTCCTTTAAGTCCATCTGGAAAAATGTGCAATAAGCAAAGTTTACTGTCCATTGGAACATCCTGTTCGATCAAACGGGAGATGAACATGGTAACCTCCTTCCAGAAAGTTTGAATCTCTATACATTGCCACATACAATGGAAAAGAGTGCCCTTATCTATATTACATTTAACACAGATATCAGGAATATTTGAATTAAAATGGTGAAGTTTTACAGGAGTGATATACGTTCTAAATAACCATTTGTATTGTAATAATCTAAACCTTGTGTTAATAGTTTGCGTTTGCGCCAATAGACATGAGTTATTCCAATCATCCTCAGGGATTTCAGTTCGCAGATCAGCTTTCCAAGCTTGTAAATATGCAAGACTATTTTCTTTTGAAGCCAAAAGTAAAATATTATAAAATTTGGAAAGTAGGCCTCTACTCTGATTATGGTGAAAGGCTATATTCTCTATGGTTGTGAGTGGAGGTTCAGACGTAGATTTCAGTGAGGCGAAGACAAAACTTCTAATCTGTAAATACTTAAAAAAATGCTTTTGGGGCAGACTATACTTATTTACCAGTTGTTCAAAAGTCATCAAAACTCCTTCACTATAAAGGTCCCCTATTTTATTTAAGCCTCTATTCATCCATATTTTAAACCCCCTGTCTGCTCTTCCTGGTTTGAAATTATTGTTTCCCCAAATAGGTGACAGATATGAGATTTTGGACACCTCATCTAAATCCTTATGGGAGTGGTGCCAAACTGATATGGTGTTTTTGAGAAAAGGATTTTTGGTGTTTTTTAATAAATATTTAAGTTCCGCTGAGTAAAGATAGGATGACAAAGGTAATGTTACAGAGTTGTTTTCTATTTGTACCCAACAAGGTATGTCACCGGTTGAAAAATAACAGGAAGCAGCACAGAGTTGTGCAGCACGATAGTACAATTTAATGTTTGGCACTCTAAGCCCACCTCGATCATAGGGCAAATAAAGAAGAGAGAGTCGCAATCTGGAGCGCTTATTGTTCCATATAAATTTGTTAAAAGCTTTATCCATAGAAGAAAAGAAAGAAGCTGGAATGTGTAAAGGAATGGACTGGAAAAGGTATAAGAACTTTGGAAGAATGGACATTTTAATAATATTAATACGCCCTATCATTGAGACTGGCATTTCGTTCCATCTTTCTAGGGAATCTAATATTTTCTGCACTAAAGGATCATAATTTATAGAAACCATTTTCTCTAAATCTCTGTCAATCTTAATTCCTAGGTAAGTAAAGCCCTCTTCGGTACATGCAAATTGTGTTTGTATTGGAGGGTTATTTCTGTTCAGCATTAATAAGGAGCTTTTCTTTTGGTTAACTTTATATCCTGAGAATTCTCCAAATTCCTTTAGTAGTTTATCAACAGCTTGAACAGATTCTTCCAAATTAGCTAAATACAAAACAATGTCATCTGCAAAGAGAGACAACCGGTGCTCTACATCCCCAATTTGAATGCCAGTGATCTCGGGGGATTTACGTATTGCCATGGCAAGCGGTTCAATTGCAAACAAGAAAAGAAGAGGGGACAATGGGCATCCCTGTCGTGTCGATCTACAGAGGTTTATACATCTTGACAATTGATTGTTTGTGGTAACTTTAGCCACTGGCTCAGTGTACAGTAACTGAATCCATTTTAAATATTTTCCTCCTAGGCCGAATCTCTTAAGGATATCAAAGAGGTAACTCCATTCAATCCTGTCAAAAGCTTTTTCAGCATCTAATGACAAAAAGGCATGGTCCATAGCAAACTGTTTTTCATACAATATATTAAGTAATCGGCGGGTATTATGAAAGGCTTGACGTCCAATTACAAATCCATTTTGGTCATTTGAGATTAAATTGGGGATGTGTGTTTCAATCCTTCGAGCCAAAGCTTTGCACAAAATTTTTGTGTCACAGGACATTAAAGAAATGGGTCTATACGAGTCCATTTCTGTTGGGGGTTTACCTGGCTTCAACAAAAGAGAAATAGTTGCCAATAGTAAGGATGGGGGTAGGGTGCCTTTTTCATAAGATTCATTGAACGCTTCGAGTAGAGGGGGCAGTAATTTATCTGGAAATTTCTTGTAAAGTTAAATTGGTAGGCCATCGGGGCCGGGAGCTTTACCAGAATTCATGTGGCTTAGAGCCACTTTGAGTTCTTCAACACTTAATTTTTCATCCAAATCTTTCCTTCTCTCTTCTGACAGGGTTGGAAATTGAAGTTGGTCTAGAAAATGCTTTTGTTTATTTGTATTATCTGGATATTGTGAAGTATATACATTTTCATAATATTTTGCAAATGCCTCATTTATACTTACTGGATCCACCAGATTCTCACCATTATTTAATTTGATTAAATTTATGGCCCGATTTGTCTGTAACTTTTTGAGCCTCCAAGCTAGGAGTTTTCCTGCCTTCTCACCCTGATCGTAATATGATTGTTTTAACCACAATAGATTTGTTGCTATTTTGCTGGTAGTGAGCTTGTTATATTCTGATTTTAATAAAAGAAGTCTCCTATATTTGTCAGTATCATTGCAATAATACATCTGTTCCTGCAATTCTTTGAATTGTTTTTTTTTAATGTTTTTTAGTTTATTTAGATGTATTCTTGATTTATGCCTAGTATAGCTCATTATTTCCCCCCTTATATAAGCTTTAAATGCTTCCCATTTTATTGATGCACTGGTTTGGTTTGTATTAAAATTAAAATACTCAGTTATTTTCCCTTCAAGAAATTCTTCAAACCCTTCAGACCTAAACCATTTAGCTTGAAATCGAAATGGGATTGAAGACCGACAATAATTTGGTAATTTTATAGATAGAATAACTGGAGCGTGATCAGAGAGTAGAATAGCTTCATACCAACATTTTTCAACAGTAGATAATAGACTAGAAGAGACCAGAAAAAAGTCTATTCGTGAGTAAGTTTTAAAGGTGCTTGAAAAGCAAGAGTACTCTGTTTTATTTGGAAAAAGTTGTCTCCAAACCTCCACTAAATTCAGATCTTTCATATATTTCTTGATAGTTTTCCTAGCTTGTTGGTGGGACAAGACAGAACTGTTTGAACGGTCTACTGCAGGATTTAAAACACAATTGAAATCTCCACCAATTATAAATGGACCGTCATAAGCTGCCATGGTTAAAAACAAATTTTGGTAAAAAGCAGGATCATCACCATTAGGGGCATATAGACACACAAAGTTGACCATTGTAGAGACTATAGTCCCACTAAGAATGATAAATCTCCCTGATGGGTCGAAGTATTTATTTTTTAGTTCAAATGGAATTGATTTGTGAATCAGTATTATGACTCCCCTGGCATGAGTTGTAAAACTAGAGGAGAATACCTGGCCAGGCCACCTAGATCTAATTTTATTCACATCTTTTCCAGTCAAATGTGTCTCTTGCAAAAAGCATATTGTAGTTTTCATCTGTTTGATTCTGCCCATCACTTGTTTAAGCTTGACAATTTTATTCAGACCTCTGACATTCCAAATAGATATATTAATTACAGGACAAACAGACATAAGTTGTGTAATTGGAGATGTAAACAAATGAAATACATTGGTCCCTTCCTATTCTCTCATTCAAGTAGTGTAAAGTCCACAAAAAAACAGTGTCCAGAGAGAGCCCTGTAACCCAAATCTCCACATATTTCCCCAAACGAAATGTGGCGGTAACCCCTTCTGAATATTGAACTTGGGTTATATGAAACGTTGCAGCCACCAAGTGGATAACGTAAAAAACTGCACGCATAACGATGGTCAGGTATAGGTTGGCCGGCATAAACAAAAAGTGCTCTGACCAAAATAACAGTAATTAAGGCAAGGTTTGCTAACATTGCAAAGGAGTAATAGAAAAATATTAACAGTGTTCATGCTTCCCTTTTTTAAGACAAAACGTTATTTTTAGGAACTATGCCAGAATAAGAGTAGCGAATACATACTAAGTCTTGGAATTGTCCTCAGCCTGCGAGCCTATTCCATCAATATACTTTTCGGCTTCTTCCACGGATTTGAAGATCCGGCGTTCGTCATTATGTGTGATGATCAAGTGGGCTGGGTACAGAATGCCATACCGAATTTTAAGGGAACGAAGCCGGATCTTCACTCCATCAAAGCGCCTTTGCAGCTTGCGAGTCTCGGCCGAGAGATCAGGGAAGAAGG